GTCATAAATCTATAACTACTACACATCATGGGGGTAAAAACACCATGAAATGACTTAAGATGATTGGAATTATCATCTAACAACAGTGAACCAAAGGATTATACACCGATATCATTGTCATTCGATGGGAATTATACACCAATTTCATGTTGTTGGGGCATATGCCAAGATTTATAGGAATATCAGGGTGATAGAATGCAATGGGATCTAATCTAATTGTTCCACCATGAAATGTTATTATGCACCCCATCATTGAGAGCTCATCATTGGGGAGTACGTGTTTCTTTTTGGGGGGGACAAGTTTAATATAGTTTCATGAGAGAATCTACAGTATACCTGAAGATTTTGTTGTCTTTTTGTGTTTGGGTTTTTCACATTCAATAATTATATATATCAATATATATATTCCTGTAGAATATCTTTGTTTCTTTTTCTGAAACATTGACACCATCGTTTTTTTGGCCCGCCAAAAAAAGGGGTTTAACCTCCGTAGTTCGCGTGGCGGTAGAAACTGAGTATGGGTGAACAGAGGTCTTTTCAGATGTTCGCAGGCAAAAATCCAAAACAATATCAAACTGGGCAAACAGACTGGTGTCTGGTTCCGGTGTACAGAAAGGTCTATCAGGCGTTTTTGATTCGAAGGTGTTTGAGAAATTCCCATGTCCAGCAGATTGACAAGCTCAAAAACAACGAGGTGCAGCTCCAACGTCAACAAAACGCGGGCGGTATCCATTTTCCCATCTTTGCCTCGCATGAAGCCTATGGATTTCTCCGAAAAGAATCAAAAAGATAGGACACATCATTGCTTCAGTTGTTTTTTTTGAAGTTTCTTTGGTGACAGGAAATGGGCTTCCGCACGCCATAGGAATCTCCACGTTTTCCAATCAAGCGACCTCTCGACTTCTTGAGGAGTTCCTGGAATTCATGGAGGATGAAACCATCGATTTGGCCTCGTTGGGTACACGCTGGGCTGCCCAGGAGGGCTCGGAGGTCGAAAATCCCAAGGATCCCAATAGGATGGCTCAAAGCTTTTAAGATACCATCAATTTTGGTGGAAGACACATCCATTAAGCAGCTATGACTTAGGGTACCTAGGGTCCCAAGGTTTTGACTCATAGCTATATATTTTTTTTTAATACATGTGCTATTGGGAGCTGATAGTCTAGCAGGTCTAGCAAAAACAGAGAAACACATCCAGCACAAATGAGTGCTTTTACCGGTGCACATGGGAACCTCACCAACCAAACTCTTGCTGTAAGGCTTTGATCAACTTTACCAACAACAGATAGAGATATGACTAGCAAGCATGAGGATTTGATCAACAAAAATTGGTGATTCATGGTGATTCCATAGATTCTATATAGAGAATAAGTACGTGAAGATGACAGATTCATTGGATGTAAACTCTACAGGATGTAGAGGCCAGGGTATTCTGCAGCTACCGCGCCGCAGGTCCGTTCTTCTGCCGACACCAACTGGAAAGCAGTGATTCACTGTCCGGGACCCGTGCAGTTTTTTTCATCCCACGCATATTTGCTCGATGCATATGGCATACTATAAATAACCGAAGGAAGTTTAGAAGTCAAACTTCCGACAATATGGACAGATGGAAAAGCAGAGGTGGGAAGAGTCAGAGAAGAGAAGAGACGAAGAAAGAAGATCAGAGAAAAAAGAGCGTCAGAAGAAAGAAGATGCAGGTGCGCGAAAAGGTAGGAAAGTCGTGAAACGCTGTGTTTTTCCAATGATTTGTGGCTCCGGAGGGTCGAAAAGTAGGCTCGCTAAAGCGGCGGGTGCGGAGCTAGCTGGCAAGATGAGAGATGAAAAATTGCACGCCGTTGTGGCGCAAAGCACATTTCCAAGTCAAAATGTACAAAGCACGTCAGCTTCGGAGCACTTTTACGAAGTTGAGATGTCGAAAAAGTGCACGCCGTTGTGGCGCGAAGCACATTTTGAAGGAAAAATGATCAAAAGACCGCAGTGTCGGAGCACTTTGGGAAGATGAGATGTTGAAAAAAATCGAAGTCAAAATGTACAAAGCACCACATGCTCGCGCCACTTTTGGACGTTGAAGCGGCGTTTTGTGTGGCAGGCACAAGGGATTCTGCACCTTGTCAAAAGTAAGAAAAATGTGAAGGTTTTGTAGCATTTCCAAAAACGATGGCAGGCATGGGTCATTCGAAGAGGATCTGCAAAGATGCATTTTCCGTGGCAGGTGCAGTACAAGAGACATGTTCATCAGAGATGTTAGGAGTTCAGGGCGCTGATTTCCTGAGAGTGGTTGCATTTTGGAGCATCAGATCTTCAGATTTTCTGAGATGATTTTGCGTGACAGGTGCAGCACTTCGTATGACCTGGCATCACTTTTTCGTGGCAGGCGCAGTACTTTAGACAGATGGAATGCAAAAATCACAAAACGCATTGGTACGAGGCCGTCAGCTCTGCACTCAACTTTCCATTCTTGAAGGACGTCTCGCAGAATTGCTTCGTTTTTGATGTAGTCAACTTCGAAAATTGAGGATGTCTCGCAGGCTTGTTTCGTTTTTGACGTTGTTTGCAAATTGGGAAGTCTCGCAGAATTGCTGCGTTTTTGATGTTGTCAAGTTCAAAAACTGAGGAAGTCTCGCAGAATAGCTTTGTTTTCAAGCTTGCAGATAGACAGATAGATAGATAGATAGGTAGGTAGATAGATAGATAGACAACTATAACTACAACTACCACTACCACTGCACTAAACTGCTACTACTACAACTACAAATACAAATGCAAATATATTACGCCACATTGCACTACGCTAATTGCGCTACACTACACTGACTACATCTAGTTACACTACATCTAGTTACACTACACTACTACACTACACTAATTAACTACAAGTACAACTACAACAACAACAACTACTACTACTACCACTACTACTACCACAGCAACAACTACAATGACAATTGCACGACATTACACAACACTAGGCTAGACTAATTAACACACATTACACTACAGCTACAACCGCAAATGCAACTACAACTGCCGCTACATTACACTACACTACAACTACAAGTACAACTACAACTACAACTACACGAGACTACACTACACTATACCACACTACAGCACACAACACTACACTACACTACATCACACTACACTAATTACACCACGCCACAACTACAACTGCAACAGCAACTGCAGCTACACTTTACTAATTACACTACATTACAACTACAACTCCGCTACGCAGCACTACAGCTACAACTGCAACTGCGCTATACACCACACTACATCCAGCAGGTGTGGTGAGGTGACCACTGCAACACAACTCCAACCACCTTTCGGTCCATCAGTGGATTCGCTCTGCCATCCGTGATTCACAACAACATATATACATATACATATACGTACAATTGCGTATACTACACATCATTATATATACAGATATGTATGGATATGTACACATAGTTGGGACCTTTCACTAGCTATGAAAATTCTGACCATTAGCTTATCAGCACGGTTGATGTCACTTGAGGCTTGAACTTGCCTCATTGATCATTCTTTATGATCCATAACCACGTTTGTTTTCATTGAACCATTGGCATCTATGTTTATCATTGATTTTCATGTGTTGGTCTGTATCGATCTCAAACATATATATATATATATACATGAACATATGATAGTAGTATATATATCATTTATTGTGCACATAAAAACATAAAACTCTGTTTTGCATGTTTCAGCACCTCAGGTGGTCGGCTGAGTGGAACGATGAAAACCGCAAGAAGCGCCGGCAGGACGCTGGGGTAGCGAAAAGCCATGAGGGTTAGCTATGTGCCAACTTCGTTGGATGACCTAGGGATTTTTAGGAATGCACATATGGGTATGGGTCAAAATTAGGTACCCCATTAATTGGATGGTTAATACTCAACTAGACTAACATCTGTGGTCCCCTAGGTCTTCCATTTTGACCCACATCCATATGACTTTATAGGAATTTATATGAATTTTTAATGGGGATATGACGGGAATATCATGGGATCTGCCTACCCTCTGGTAAATAACCTAACATATGGCTATGGAAAATGGCCCTTTACATAGATGAATTACCTCTTGAACATGGTGATTTTCCATGGCTATGTTAGTTTCCTGGAGGGCATGCATTCACAAATTCTGGGTCCAATCTGATTATTCAATCAGACTAGAGCATGGTACATGACCCCTTTTCTGGTTTACGTATATTTTAGCGGGATTATGATGTTATTGATTGACAACGGGTTGGACTAGTACTGATGAAAGTTGAAACTGGTCCCAAGATATTGCCAGTGACAGTGAACAAGTGGAAAAGATATTGGAACAAATCATGAATGAAAACTACAGGTGTGAATTTGCACCTTATTGATCTTGTTGTGATCTGAGACGGAGAAAAACATGAAAAACACATTGAACATCACTGAAACATCCTGTGTAAATCCCTTCATCGTGAAGAAATTCATGTAAACATGGGACGTGTCGCCATTTGGGTTACATGATGGATCAATGATCCCATTTGACATTCGGAATATGTTTCAGGTATGCTTCAGGTTTGTTAAGACCAACGAGTATGCATCTCAGGGGTTCACAATTGTTCAATCACCTTTATGATCTCGGTTTAGCATCCACTTCTGAGGTTACAGTTCTCATCTGTACGGATAATATAGATCAAACTTCGTGATCCCCATTTTGGATCACTTTGGGAGATTCGAATGTTTATCGTATGGCCCATTTCAAAGAATTCACAGGAGAAAACTTTCCGTCGCAGGAGGCTTTAAGACTCTTTCGTCCTGACGAGAACGTGGTTTCAAAGGCACGTTCCGGGTAAGTTCGAAGGTCCAATTTTGTTTAGACCTCGAGAATTCTTCGGATAAAAAAGAAAGTCTTTGGATCACAGATTTTGTTCTGCAGATTTCCATGTTAAGCAACTGAACATATTTCGACATACTATTACATATATATATATATAGTTATATGGCAGTGTGTCAAAACCTTGTACCCCTGGTGAACATCAAAATAGTTGGTAAATGGATGTTCATCCCCCTAAAAATGGTATTAATAGGTATTGATCCATACCCATATGGCATTATAATGGTTTATATGAAATTATGCTAGCTATGATAATATATCTTGTGCGTGTACGGCCAATGGTTCATCATCAAAGATGCACCATATTTTTTGTCAAACATCCCCCGTATACATCCCCGTATGCCGAAGTTCCCTTTGTCAAACATCCACAGGAGTTTGTCCCAAAAAACATAGGGAATAGTGGTGAATGGTGGTTGAAAAAGTGGTTTTCATAGGGTATAAACCAACAACAATGGGAATATGATGGTTATATAAATAAGTGGTTGGTGGTTTGGAACATGGTTTTTATTTTCCCCAATAGTTGGGATGATGATCCAATCTGATTTTCATATGTTTCAGGGGGTGAAACCACCAATTAGCTTGTGTTTGGAGTAAACACATGTACAGTAAGTTGTTCTTAAATTCATCTATTGACAAGTCCTGTGATCACCCTACAATGTGGTACCCCCAACCGTGTCGGTTTAGATCCACCTCATTAAAAGTAGTTCGATATATCACAACCCCTATACATATTGTCATGTTTGCCAACTTCGCGAACTACAGGAAACTGTAAAATCCCGCAGTACGTCACCGTGTTTGTTGTTCAAATCCCATCAAAATCCCACAGGAAATCACCACTTTTCGGGCAGCATCATGGCGGCCATCCGAGGTGCCACTGGCTCCCACGAACCCGAAAGAACTGCTGATGCGAGCTGCAACCGTCGGTCACCAAAATTGGGAAAATCAGAGAGGTCAAAGAAGTTGGTACCCTCTGGTAATTTAACATAGCTATGGAAAATCACCATTTTTAATGGGAAAATCCACTATAAATGGCAATTTTCAATGGCTATGTTAGTTTACCAGAGGGTAAATCTATGGAAATGTCCTGAACATCCCGGAAATGAGTTAGGCATGAAGAAACACGGACATTTACACAATACATTTACCAACCCTTGAATTGTGGGGTACATAGACTCCCGATGAAAAATCCTCCAGCATCATGGTATTTGAGATGATTGCTGGTTTCGATTTCTGTTCGAAATGTGACAGATGTGTGTATGATTGTCACGTTATCCCGCTATTCTGTAGGTCCCAATATAGGATAGCTAGGACGTATGTTCTTGTCTCAAAAAGGGGCATACCCAATTCCATTGAGTAGCATTTTTTTCGGCGTAGGCTCGTTGTAGGCTACACAAAGCGTAGGCTTTCTGCAGACACGCGCTGGCAACAGTTAGAACTCATTTGTTTTGCCTTGGTTAGTTGTGATATTTGTGGTTTGTGGTGCCGCACTCCAATACAAAAAGAAGCCATGGCTGTGTAGTCAAAGCCTACACCGCGTAGCAAGCAATGTCATAGGCTCGGCGTAGACAGTTGCATAGGTTATATGCTAAGGGTCATCTTTCAGAGAGGGATAAAAAAAAAAACGCTACTCCAACGGTCTTTTTACATGACATGCGTACTTTTTAAGTGCCAATTGTGAGGCAGCCTTTTTATTTCTGAAGAATCCAAGCCTCAAGGCTCCATATATCACCATGATTCACCATGATTGCTGGCACCCCCAAAAAAATGCTGGTTAACGGTTAACAGTACAATATCCCCATCCTCATTTGTTTATGGTTAAATTCCCCCTGTTTAGACAGATCATACCCAAGTTGCTTGAAATTATTTCAAAGATGATATACCATGTTCACCATGTTCACCTAGTCCGTTGTCTTTTCATCGAATCAGATTTTTGAGTTCTTGTAAATCATTTTTTCCCCAGAATACTGTAGATGTAAGAGATCGCCAATTTGTTTATAGGTGCTTTATCCCATGACTCTTAGGGTTTTACCATGTTTCAACCCAAGGCGGACCACCCCAGGATTTCGCATCCTGAGGCCTTGAAGGCGGGCGCGGCCAATGGAGACTTGCCGGGCCGGGAGACGGAACAGGAACGCGTCGGGATGCCCAAGATTGGCCATTCCCATGACGGATCCATGGTGCTGATATATATATATATATATGCTAACACTTGGGGTATATGGATGGTAAATGTTACCATATATATATAGCAGCACCATGGATCCTATGGGATTGTAGATTATCTATGTTCATTTTTACATCTATAAGGGGTAGCTCCGGGGAGGGCTTTTGGGGCGGGGTGTTTTTTCAGCCAGGAAGTTCTGGTGAAATTGGTGATGGTTTATTATTGAGTTTACCATAGTTTACCACATTGTAGATGTATGGGTTTTCCATAAATGGGTGGTACCCCAATAGCTGGATGGTTTATTTCATAGAAAATCCTATGAACGTGGATGATAGGGAGCTTTTTCCCTATTTCAGGAAACCTCCAAAGATGTTCACAGTATCCCAAAAAGGTGTAAAATGATGAGTGCCATTCTTTGTGCCAAGTTTACCAATGTGGATTGAACCAGCAAAAAAACTGGCAGTTGGTTAGCAAAATTTTGATCCGTTTCAGTGATCCCGAGACACCCCAATGAGCCTTCTAGAGGGTGGTAACCCTGGGAATCATGGACATCGATTGCGGGAAATCATCCCCTTTTATGGCCGCAAGATTCAGGTGAACGTGGAAATATGATCATTTACTTGGAATGTATTGCTACTAGCAATGTTTTTAGAGATTGTCCAGAAAATTGTAGAGATGTTACAGCAATGGAAAGTACCATGAAGGTTTATTTTCTGTGCGGCTGGACATATATCATCATCCCTGATTCTTTCGGGTATATCCCAATTAGAAGGGGTTGCATCTCAACCAATGTGGTAAATGGTAAGCCCAAAAATAAAATACTGTAGAATGCACTAGACTACCAATGTGGAATGTTTGAAATTTTGAAATATTAATCAAAAGAATTAACAAGTGAATGTCAAGTTGCGGATTTTCGATGGCTTTGGCTCTTCCTGAATATCCATCCTGAAGTTCACCACCTGAATCTGTGAACCCCAAAACTGGGTCTGAAAAAGAATGTCCCAAGTTGGATATGGCCATGTCAGTTCAAATTCAGTGGGTCCTGGGTACAAATGGCAATTCTTTATCCATGTTGCTTGTTTCATCTCGTATCTTCAGTGCCATTTAGGTCATGGACTTCCTTCGTACCTCTGTGAAGGATGGAGGCCGAAAAGAGGTGCCACTACAGTAGTGACTTTGTGTCTTTGTTGTAACCTGAAGCCTATGGATCCAGCCGTACCTTCTCAGTATTTGGACGCATCGAGCTTTACATGAGCTTTATGGTTGTTGCAATTTTGGGTGATGTGTTTTCAGGGTTGGTACATTTCCATACATTTCCTGTAGCTTTACGTGTTTTACTGTAGAGATTGCAAGGTGAGCCATTTTTTCTTGGTATGTCTTTGTAAATACAACATTAGATGGTGCATCCTAGGTTGAGTAGAACCGTGGCTTTTGCTCATGAGCTGACGCTGTCCAAGTGAATCTCTGTCAGACTTCTGGGAAACGTGCAAACAGGGGCCAGGCATCCCTAATACCAGATTCAGATGTGTCAAAATCACCCATGAAGTCAGGAACCTCCTTGGATGTAAACATTTTAAGAAGCCGTGGCAAGTTTACCCTATCTGCCATACAGATAGCATCCATGTTGCTGGAATATTCTGCCTCTCTGTTGTATGTCAGTATGTTGGTAAGTCTATCAATCAGCACCTCGGATTACCTGTGCCAGACATCGGAAGCTGGAAAAATATGGACAAAAGCACTACCATTCCCAAATCCGAAAACCATTTCAGTATAGTGCATCTTATATTATGAATAATTATGATATATTATTTATATTTAAGTTTTATGGTGAGGTCAACAGTTGCTATCCAAAAAAAACATAAACTACTACCAGATTGCCATGTTAAAACCATCCGGAGACCCCGCAGAAAACGGGGCGAGACGGGGAGGTCCTCTATGTCTCTGGTGTCCCTGGCACTGGTAAGACGGCCTCGGTCCTGGAAGCTGTGCGGCGGCTGCAAGCTGCCAGGCGGGTTGACACATTGACCCGGGGCTGGTGGGGATGGGGAAATTAGGACCCGCTGTTGCTTTGAAACAATAGTCGAAATTGTAATTTTTCAATGGGTCAATAGTCTTTATATATATATATATATTGACATTGTGGGTGGGAAATGGCAATTTTTCTCGCAATTGACATTTTACGAAATATGTCGAAATAATGGGCGATGACATATGATAAATTTAGTATTAGTAAATATGATAAATGGAAATAGTGGGAAAATCATCTGCAAATGGGCTTTTTTTCCGTATCAATGACCGGAGGGTTCGGGATGAAGATACCAGGCCGTAGCAGCCGGTGAAAAACGGTTCCACCCAGCTGGCTTTCATGGTCACTTACTTTACGAAAGATACCAGGGCAACTTGACAGGTTTTGACCCAAGGTTGGAGGATTCTGATGTTTGGAGATGTTTGGTTTGTTAATTGGCAGTGGGCTATTGGAACCAACGGTTGATGCACTAAAAGTGGGGATTCGACCAACAAGAGGACATGACCAGCTGAAAAGTACATCAGGTACCCGATGAATACATCATATGGCTATGGGTCAATACCTATTAATACCATTTTTAATGGGATGAACATCCATTTACCAGCTATTTTGATGTTCACCAGGGGTACAAGGTTTTGACCCATCCCCATATTATCCATGTGATGATTTTCCTATTATCCATAGGATCCATGTATGCTATATATGGTGACGTTTACCATCAATATACCCCCAATGTTAGCATATATACCATACATGGATCCTATGGGTATTAGACATGGGTATTTCCCAGGTTCGATAACTGAAGGGAAGGGTACACGATCCAAGCGGCTTCCGCTGCCAGGAAGCCGCAAGTTCAGTCAGTGTATGTCAATGCCATGTGCGAAAGCCCAGAGGATAAGAAGATTCTGCGATCTATAGGGATTTGTAGTGATTTATAGGGATTTATAGTGATTTATAGGGATATACTGGAAATATAATGGGAATATCATGGGAACATCAGGGGAATATATAGAAAACACGCATGGAATATAATGGGATCTTTTGTGATAGGTGTCCGATGACTTGAAGGACCATTAATTTGTCCAGAAGGGTTGTGCAAAAAGGGTGGTTGCCTCTTTATTTATTTACCACTTAGTATCAATGAATATGAAAGAACATCTCTGTTCAGTTTCCTAAGATACTGTATGATGCTTTCGGATGATAGTGGCAAGTCTGCAACGGAACCCTTGGTCTTGGATTCTCCCAAATCAGAGTGATGAAATTGTGCACATTTTATTCAGTCACTGTCGAAGAATGTCCAGTTTTCTCCCAAGGATTTTTGGCCATGGGTTCACGGGAGGCTTGTCTAAAGTCGTCCGGAAATCGTGTGCCCGTTGTGTTTTAGATGTTTCTTGTACGACTTTAATGTTAGGAGTTGTTGTTGTTGCTGGGAGTGTTTTTTTTGCTTGTGCCGCATGGATTTGCAAAGATGTTGGTGCAGGCAAATCTGATTTCAAGATACATTCTCGGCATTCATTGTCGATACCTTTCAAAAAGTGCCACTACTCAGAACCTGTCAGAACCAACACATGTGAAGTGTACGATCCTGTTTGCTGTTTGTCTCTTTGTTTGCTGTTGCCCCGGTGGGGTTGGGCGGGCCAAACCTCGCGAGGACCTCGCGCGACATCGCGATATGATACTGTGTGCCCACGATGTGTCACTGTATTTGCCGGCGCAAATTCACGTGTCAAATACGCTGTGCCATTGGGTCCAACATTGAGCTTTAGGGATGCGTGCGCGTTACGTTACCTACGTTGTGCCATTGTATTCTCCTGTTCGAATCCCCTAAAGTATTTGACAAGATTATTATACAATATTGAAATGCACTACAGTGTGCGCAAAGAATCCGATGAAATCAGCCTATTCCGAAAAGGTTTTGTTGCGAAACGTGTGCCCATGGTGTTTTGATATGGTGGGTGCCTGACTTCAGGCAGAGCTGTGCCCATGGGGATGTTTGACTTGTTGATGTGGAATCCGAAGTCATGAAAGAGTGATTCGTGAAGATCTACCATCTGGTTATTTAACATAGCCATGGAAAATCACCATTTTTTCATAGGTAAACCATCTATTTCGATTAGGGCCATGGCTTAACCATGGCGAACTGTGAATGTCATAACCAGAGGGTACCATCCTTCACTGATCTTCACTGTGCCCAGAGATGATCGTCCCTGGTGAATCCAGGTCCATTGCATCAAATTCCCCGTTGTTTTTATTCAAGTGTATCTTGTCAAGCTATCTGCGACGGTCTCCCTACTGTCGCTTTTTGTCCGGAAGCATGTGAATGTTGCTGTCATTCCCCATAACTATTTATAGAATGGGCTAGCGCCCTGTGCCGCCGACCCCCCCTTTGTGGGGGTGGCCTGGCACTACGTTCTGATGTTAAACCAACCGTCACTGTAGCAATTTCTGGCCGCAAGGGTATCGGTTCGAAGTGTTAGTTCCATTTGGGCAATGTTTCCTCAACATGGGATAGTTTGCTGCCAAAGATCTTGAACATGGTTTTTCACTATTCAAGCATGAATCACCAACCAAGCAATTCACAATGCCTCAACGATCCTCATAAATAACCCCCATAAATCGCGTTTGAAACCGGGAAATACCACAAAGAACGCCTATAAGAAGCCATTGCTGCGGCCGTGGGGTGCTCTTGAGCCATTGCTGTGGCCTTGTGGTGGCTTTTGCGTGCGAGAGTGGCGCATGTTGGGCGGAGGGTTTGGAGGGTTTGAGGCCTGGCAAACGGCAGCGTTGAACGCCTATAAAAGAAGCCATTGCTGCGGCCGTGTGGTGCTCTTGAGCCATTGCTGTGGCCTTGTGGTGGCTTTTGCGTGCGGGAGTGGCGCGTGTTGGGCTTGTTGGGGTACCTTTTCCCTGCGGAGCTGGCCGGACTTTTGGAGGGTTTGGAGGGTTTTGGAGGGTTTGGAGGGTTTTGGAGGGTTTGGAGGGTTTGAGGCCTGGCAAACGGCAGCCTTGAACGCGTATAAGAAGCCATTGCTGCGGCCGTGGGGTGCCCTTGAGCCATTGCTGTGGCCTTGTGGTGGCTTTTGCGTGCGAGAGTGGCGCATGTTGGGCGGAGGGTTTGGAGGGTTTGAGGCCTGGCAAACGGCAGCGTTGAACGCCTATAAAAGAAGCCATTGCTGCGGCCGTGTGGTGCTCTTGAGCCATTGCTGTGGCCTTGTGGTGGCTTTTGCGTGCGGGAGTGGCGCGTGTTGGGCTTGTTGGGGTACCTTTTCCTCGCGGAGCTGGCCGGACTTTTGGAGGGTTTGGAGGGTTTTGGAGCGTTTGAGGCCTGGCAAACGGCAGCCTTGAACGCGTATAAGAAGCCGTTGCTGCGGCCGTGGGGTGCCCTTGAGCCATTGCTGTGGCCTTGTGGTGGCTTTTGCGTGCGGCAGTGGCGCGTGTTGGGCTTGTTGGGGTACCTTTTCCCTGCGGAGCTGGCCGGACTTTTGGAGGTTTGGAGGGTTTTGGAGGGTATGGAGGGTTTGAGGCCTGGCAAACGGCAGCCTTGAACGCCCATTGCTGCGGCCGTGGGGTGCTCTTGAGCCATTGCTGTGGCCTTGTGGTGGCTTTTGCGTGCGAGAGTGGCGCATGTTGGGCAGAGGGTTTGGAGGGTTTGAGGCCTGGCAAACGGCAGCGTTGAACGCCTATAAAAGAGCCATTGCTGCGGTCGTGTGGTGCTCTTGAGCCATTGCTGTGGCCTTGTGGTGGCTTTTGCGTGCGGGAGTGGCGCGTGTTGGGCTTGTTGGGGTACCTTTTCCCTGCGGAGCTGGCCGGACTTTTGGAGGGTTTGGAGGGTTTTGGAGGTATTGGAGGGTTTTGGAGGGTTTGGAGGGTTTGAGGCCTGGCAAACGGCAGCCTTGAACGCGTATAAGAAGGCATTGCTGCGGCCGTGGCGTGCCCTTGAGCCATTGCTGTGGCCTTGTGGTGGCTTTTGCGTGCGGCAGTGGCGCGTGTTGGGCTTGTTGGGGTACCTTTTCCCTGCGGAGCTGGCCGGACTTTTGGAGGGTTTGGAGGGTTTGGAGGGGGAAGGTTTGAGGCCTGGCAAACGGCAGCCTTGAACGCCTATAAAAGAAGCCATTGCTGCGGCCGTGGGGTGCTCTTGAGCCATTGCTGTGGCCTTGTGGTGGCTTTTGCGTGCGAGAGTGGCGCATGTTGGGCTTGTTGGGGTACCTGTTCCCTGCGGAGCTGGCCGGACTTTTGGAGGGTTTGGAGGGTTTTGGAGGGTATGGAGGGTTTGAGGCCTGGCAAACGGCAGCCTTGAACGCCTATAAAAGAGCCATTGCTGCGGCCGTGGGGTGCTCTTGAGCCATTGCTGTGGCCTTGTGGTGGCTTTTGCGTGCGAGAGTGGCGCATGTTGGGCTTGTTGGGGTACCTTTTCCCTGCGGAGCTGGCCGGACTCTTGGAGGGTTTGGAGGGTTTGGAGGGTTTGGAGAGGGAGGGTTTGAGGCCTGGGAAACGGCAGCCTTGAACGCCTATAAAAGAGCCATTGCTGCGGCCGTGGGGTGCTCTTGAGCCATTGCTGTGGCCTTGTGGTGGCTTTTGCGTGCGAGAGTGGCGCATGTTGGGCTTGTTGGGGTACCTGTTCCCTGCGGAGCTGGCCGGACTTTTGGAGGCCTTGGAGGGTTTTGGAGGGTATGGAGGGTTTGAGGATCACCCACCCCTAGAAATGTATTTTAGGGGGGGGAGAGGTTGGGGAAAAAAAATACATTTACCGTTCTCCAAGAATTTGATTCCCCAGGACCCCCCCTAAATACACTACTTGACCGGTGGGTGTACGTTAAATGTAGGATCCATGGGTCGGGATATCCAACCCCCCCCAGGATCTTTTATTTTGGGGGGGGTGGTTTAATACATTTTACGGGTTTGGTTTTTCCAGGATCCCCGGGAATGCTTAATTTTTTTCTGGGAATACCCTTCTTTGAAAAATGTATTTTAAGGGGGTTGGGTAGCCGAAAAGCACATCATTTTTGGAAAATGGAGGGAATAGATCTGGCTAAGGTAGTCATTGGTACCCCCTGCAATGCATACATTTCAGAATATTTAAGATCAAGTATATTTCAGCATCCCCCTTGGAATTTCCTCTACAGAATCGGGAACGTTACTTCCTGGAAAATGGTGCATTCTAACCCCCTGACTTAATAAGGGGTACCTACCCAGTGTCAACGCTTAGTGTCAACGGTTTCAATTTTATAGAGGACCTTGGGGCCTCTAATTCTATAGAGATTTCATGTTGAATACAGCACTGAGGACTAGTCAGCAGAGAGTCTTAGGGACTGCGATTCTACAGTGGGATACGTTCTCTTTGGAATCTTTGGATGTATGTCAAGTCATGTTCTTCAATTTTATAGAGAAGCATTGGCAGAACCAATTTCCCACAACAATTCTTTCATCATCCTTCATCATCCTTGATCAATCCTTGTATATTTTGGAATCATTTGGAATCTTGACATATTTTTGGAAACTTTTGGATACTTTTGGGATATATTGGAGATTTGTTGGAGATCTATCATCAGGGTTTCATCAGTTATCATCAGTTATATTCAGCAAATATGTACAATTTTGACATTTCAATATCTCACAAAAGCAGTTTTTTCTTTTTTACAAACTATAAAAGTGACATTTTTCATTTTGCATCATTTTTCCATTGTGTCTCCCCGTTGTGTCTCCCCTTTCTTTCTCCCCGTTGTGTCTCCCCAGTGTGTCTCACCGTTTTTGGGTCGAAGTCCTCGAGCCAGCCTTTCCGCCTTTCCGCTAAAAAAGAGCAAACGGATGGAAACAGATGGATACAACATGAAACAAAATGAAACAGAGCGACTTTCAAGATCTTTGAAATTGAAGGGGTTGACAGTGAACACTTGGAGCCTTTGAACTCTATAAATTTGGGAGTGCATAAGGCAAGCTAGGCAAGAGTAACTGGAGCATTCAGGTCAGCTGTCAATGAAGGAGACTTGGGGAACCTGATTTTATAGAAGGCCAACTAACCCCCCCAACCATCTACGAGAGTGACTTGGCGGCATCGATTCTATAGAGATTGTCAACTTGAAAATACCTTGGGGTCTCTGATTCTATAGATGCATTTTCAGAAAGAGGGTCAGGGCCTCCCGGATTATCATTATAAAATTGTCAACACCAACACTCTCACTTAATTCAAAGGGGGATATTTCAGCCATTTTATGGCCCATGGGTTTCAGTAGGTTTCCCAGGAAAAAAAGGTCAATTGGATTGAGGTGCAGACCCCCCCATGCTTGCATACATTTAGAAAAGTTTATGTATCCATTGGCTCTTGTCAGTGGTGCCCCCCACAAAGCATACATTTTCAGGTTCAATACCCCTACCAATAATACATTTCCAGCATCTGGCACTCATACATGCCTCATTTTGAGGGGTTACCCCCCCCCTAGTTCCCATACATTTTTGGCAAAAAGTGAGGGGGTTAACCCCCCCCTTATGTTCATACATTATCAGAAATGTAGGATCCACCCCCCCTACTCCTGAACCAGTTGGGGTCGGGGATGTTTGAGGCCTGGCAAACGGCAGCCTTGAACGCCTATAAGAAGCCATTGCTGCGGCCGTGGGGTGCTCTTGAGCCATTGCTGTGGCCTTGTGGTGGCTTTGGCGTGCGAGAGTGGCGCATGTTGGGCGGAGGGTTTGGAGGGTTTGAGGCCTGGCAAACGGCAGCGTTGAACGCCTATAAAAGAAGCCATTGCTGCGGCCGTGTGGTGCTCTTGAGCCATTGCTGTGGCCTTGTGGTGGCTTTTGCGTGCGGGAGTGGCGCGTGTTGGGCTTGTTGGGGTACCTTTTCCTTGCGGAGCTGGCCGGACTGTTGGAGGGTTGGGAGGGTTTTGGAGGGGTTTGGAGCGTTTGAGGCCTGGCAAACGGCAGCCTTGAACGCGTATAAGAAGCCATTGCTGCGGCCGTGGGGTGCCCTTGAGCCATTGCTGTGGGCTTGGGGTGGCTTTTGCGTGCGGCAGTGGCGCGTGTTGGGCTTGTTGGGGTACCTTTTCTGCGGAGCTGGCCGGACTTTTGGAGGGTTTGGAGGGTTTTGGAGGGTTTTGGAGCGTTTGAGGCCTGGCAAACGGCAGCCTTGAACGCGTATAAGAAGCCATTGCTGCGGCCGTGGGGTGCTCCTGAGCCATTGCTGTGGCCTTGTGGTGGCTTTTGTGTGCGGGAGTGGCGCGTGTTGGGCTTGTTGGTACCTTAACGAGAGAGGGCTATGTGCGCGGAAAAGTTCCACACCTGCGGTGGTCCCAGGCGCCGCCCCGGCCTTGGCGAAGGCCGGGGTCGGCGGATATTACTAATAATATTATGGTAGTATTATGGTATTATTCCCCCATCCAATGGACATGATCCAATTGATATCATCCATTCAATGGGCTAATTGGGATAATTAATTAAGAATATCAATGGGTATTATTGGAATATAAATGGATCAATGATATTAAAGGCACATTCTTGAAGGGAATTATTGAAGGCAAATTCCCAAGATAAAGGCTAAGGGATGATTCCTTTAATGGGTAGTATTGTAATTGGGATAATTAGTTGGAATATTCAATGCATATATATATATATTTTCAATGGAATATAATGATATATAATGGGATATAATATTGGATTCAATGGAGGATTGCAGTTGGAACATGAGTTTGGCAATGGAGGATTTACCCCCAGAATGGAGGTAGGACAACCACATTTTGGCTGGTGCATTTCTAGATTTTGGACTTGATAGGTTGGTAGCCATCAAACATGGGGGTCTGAATCGGAACCTACCCTCTGGTAAACTAACATAGGTATTGAAAATTGCCATTTATAGTGGATTTTCCCATTAAAAATTGTGATTTTCCATAGCTATGCCATAGCTATGTTAAATTACCAGAGGGTATTTGAAATTTGAAACACCAGAACTGGCGGGATGAACATCCATTCGCACCGCTGATTTTGAGGTGAACAGAGGGCTACCCAATCAGAATTTTCAAACTTTTCCACACACGGGGGACATTGCTGAGCCACAGGCGAACCGCGACATTGTCCTCGCCGCTGTCGCCAACGACGGATTTGCCGTTCGCCATGCCTCCGATGCCTTACGAGCAGACCGAGAGGCAGCGTACCAAAGCGTACCACAGAAAACCAGTTCTCAGATGCCTCCCAGGCTCCACTTTTCGAAACTTTGGCCAAAAACTGATAATAGGGATTCCAATATGGGTTCACAGTAGATGATTGATTATAGGTCATGAGTCATCATAGTTAATAGATGTGAATCAGATGTCAATAGGTGGCCTTGACGGCGGTGCGCACCAACGGCTCGGCGGTGCAATACGTGGCCGGCTGCCTGGCTGAGGAGATGCTTCAAGGGGTGGAGGGGTTCAGGAATGGGGGAAAACCATGGGAAAAAATGGTGGGTTAATGGTTTCTGAATGATGGTTTATGGATCTAAAAACCATCATTGAATGGTGGATTGAAGTTGATTGATGTTCGAAAATGTTTTGTATCATTTGGAATTCAATCATGATCAATTATGTATAGTGCCCCTATCAGGACTGGAATTGAATATCTTCCAAATGTTTGGAATTTTGGGTCGATACTGTAGTCCTAAAAAGATGATGTGAGGTATAGCAGTGGCCAGTCAGCCTGGATGGCAATTGTGACCTGGGAGTTGCGGCTGATCTTTCCAGCATGGGTGTGATTCCACTTCAGCCAGAACATCCAAAATCCTCCCAATATGGTACAGGCATCTGACAAAGTCGTACCTGTTTTAGGAAAAAATCGTTGTGCCTTGGGGAAGTGTGTTTCGCAAAAGTCGTGCCTTTAGCAAGAACGCATAGGAACTCTGGAGTTTGGATATGTAACCCGTTTTCTTATGAGATCACGTAGCTGATCACTATTAGCATGCAGAATTCCAGGTTGTGGGTATGTTGATTAGTTATAGGTAAGATGGCGTTGAGCTGGTGATTTGATGATTTTGGATGTTCATCCCAGATTATCCTGTTTTTCCCGAATGCGTAGCGAAGGGTTCCCGTTTATAGTCTGGGGGTCTGGGGGCTGGACCCTTGTATAATCAAACTGCTTCAAAACAGGGAAATCACATCACTATTCTCTTGGGCTTGCCTTGATTTTTGGACACATAATTCATATTCCTATTTCATTTCTTTTGGCTGCCCACAGCAAATGTCATTTGTCCCTCAGAAATGGCAGGACCGCGAAGTGGCCCTCACTGCCGTTCGCAGTAGTGGTGCTGCTTTGAGGCAGTTCCGGCAGTAATCCTGGTTTTGGGCATTGAGTACTGCATGATACAAACATGTGGCCAAACGCCTACATGATGAATTCAGTTGAATGATGTATTCATTACCAGATCTTGGAAACAGTTTGGAAGACATTTGGCAGATCCGTGATGTGGCTTCTGAAGTCCTGCTCGGGATGGCTTGGCTGGCCATCTCCTGGCAGGTACGTGGTGCCAAAGTTTAGGACTGGGCAGTTTTGCCTTGACGCAGTTGCTGGTTGATGCTGCCTCTCCATGCCTTTTCAATAATAGTATATAATATATGATCTTCCGATACTTTACGACCCTCTATTACAAATGATGATGATTCCTGTTCTTTCTGTGCTTGTTGGCTCAGTTAGCCAAGGGCCGTTGCTTCAACGCCCAGGAGCGACCGCGAAGTGGTCCTTGAGGCCGTCCGCAGCTATGGCCAGGCGCTGAAATTTGTGGACGAGCAGCTGCACCTTGGGCTGACCATTCCTGGTTTTAACATGTTTCAACATCTTGTGGACCCATATATACCAACGAAAATGGGATATAGAAACAATGAAACCAAAATGGGGATCAACCAGTGAAAATGGGGGTTCTACCATAAAAAATAGGAACTCAAACATGATTTACACAAGGAACAATGGATATGGATGAACAACCTCTTCTGTACTGTACAAAACAATGATTGATAGATTGAATTCACGGAGCATCTTCTGAAGTCTTTTTAAATTTAACTTAGGAACAGTCGAAATATTGAAGGCTCATCCCAATTGATGCTCAAAAAAAATGCTCCACCAATCTCCAATTTCGAGGCGCTGTGACGAAGACGTGGCGCTGGCGGCGGTGACCTCGGACTTCACGGCCTTCCAACACGTGCCGCTGGCGTTGAAGGCCAATCGGCTCATCGCCCTGGCGGCGGTGAAGCAAAGCGCACGGATCTTCAAGAGCCTCCCGGAAGATGTCAAGGCGGATCGCGAGGCGCGGAAGCACTGAATCATGGAGGATGGGTGATGGTCATGGCTTGGATCATATGATCACCCCTCTTTTCTTCTGTATATAATTATAGTGTATCACTTGTTAAAGATAATTAGGGAGTGTTCTTTTTGGGAAGAGATCATTATGGCATTGGTTCACCCGACTGATGTTGCCATACTGCCTGGGCTTTGACCACACACCAGTTCTGAAGATCCCAGTCTCTTCGATGAGGTAGCTTTGGCAGCGGTCAGCAACGATGGATTCCTCCTCACCCTCATCACGCCCAAGTTGCAACATGATCGTTTGGGGGCCCAGAGGTTGCAGGCCTGGATTCACATTGAACAGAGTTGGGCATGGATCTTACTCTCAAGATCTCTCAAGCACATCTGAGAATCTATGAGTCTCATGTCTTTTGCCCTCGAAGTTTTGGAGTTGACCCAGAATCTGCGATCTTACAGACATGAATGTGATTTTGGACGATGTGGGTCCCAGGTAATATCGTTTTAGCTGCGGTGAGCAACAGTGCGGTGTGCCCTGGTTGCAAGAGTGCTTTGCACTTCATGGTTGTCATGTGCACCTTTGGAGGCTATGTTTGGCCATTGATTCCCATATCCAGTGGCATGGGTGAGTTTATGAGAATACTAAAGATTTGATTTGTATTGCAGTTGTTCAGCAGTGCCATTGAATCCTTCAGTCCAGCCGCGCGATGCCATCCGAGGCTTGCTTATGCATCGGAAGAGATGCAAGGAGACCGGGAGATTGTGCTGGCAGCGGTGCGTCACGAAGGCACCATGCTCCAGTTCAGCTCAGGCGGGGGACACATGGTGAGGGTTGATGGGAACATCAGATGTTGGGTTGTGAATAATTAACATGATTAAAATGGGATGATTTGAGTTTCAGATAGTTTCAACATCTTTCAACATGTTTCAGGAAAATTGAAGTCAGATGCAGAAGTCGTCTTGACTGCGGTGAAGTGCAACGGCGGCTTGGCTGGAACCAGTTCTATAAATACATGTCTTCGGAAGACGGTTTTTGAAGTTTTAAATGGCAGATCTCAACGATTGCGGAAAGCAATGGCCATCATACCACATTTGGGGATGGGTCAAGACCTATGGGACCAAATGCACATCATACATCTACCAGATTCTAGCAGCAGTTGTTTGAGGTTTTTGAGCGCCATCTCAGGCTTTGCCATCATTTATGCAGATGGAAAACTTCGAGCTTGCCGAGAGGCCCCAAAAATTGGACGGGTGCCATCCCGTCCTATACCGGTTCGAGCCATGGGGATGATTGTAACTGTGGATGGACCGCATAGACCGCATATATACCTGTGATATTGGGATGAGGGGAAGCCTGGGTGAAAGTGGCAGTATACATGAGCATACAGTATACATAGTATACTCACCTATGATTCTGATATATGTTCGGATTGGGAATGGCCATTTGAACGTGGGATGACCGTGCCAGGTCATGCTGGAAGCGGTCCGCAATAGCGGATCGGTCTTGCAGTGACTTTCCCAGCAGAAATGGGCGATCCATTGGTCGATCCATTGGTCGATATTCTGAGGTGGGCTCCCGCACAGCTCAAGGAAGATCTACAGGTGGCACTGGCAGCAGTGGCCAGCAATCCGGCAGCCACAAAGCCTCTTGGCTGAGCTGTGGAGGGGAAACAGTTCAGGTATGTTCAGTTATGTTCAGTTATGTTCAGTTGAATAAAGTTAGTAACTTTAGCATACTTTAGCAATGTTCCTGAAAGTTCAAATTTATTGTACTCCATTTTGTAACTAGACCACAATGGCCGGCCCTTGGATCCGAGGTTTGTTTCGGATGCTGGAAACTCAGTTTCTCTTGTCCAAGAAATGCACCACTTGTTTTGGAGTTGGCCAGTCCACCTCTGAACCACTTCGTCTTGTGACTTGTGTCCTTTTCTATGTTTCACCAGCTTTCTGAAGTCGCAGGAACTCAAGCAGAAGCGAACCTGAGTTGCAATTTCATAGCTCGAAAGGCTAGCATCCTCCAAAGCGTGTTGCAATACCAGCAAACCATGACTATACCATGACTAAAGATGGGGCCAAAGCGATTTTTTTTAGGGTGCCGTGCTCGGTATCTCCATTGGACCCCAGGAAAATTCTGGCTTGCTGCGCTCCACCGAAACATCGGTGTGGCCGAATTCCTGCCAAAGAAGCTACGTCGCGACCAAGGATGGGTCAATCCACTGCAGTTGGTGACGTCCCACAATTGGCATGGAATCATCATCATCCCTGTTGTTGGTGATTGCTCCTGTGGCTGGGGATACCACTATGTTTTTATCTTCGAGATCCTTCGAGACAATGGACAAAAGTAAGACCAAAGGCTTTTTTGCTGAGAAGCCTCAGGTCCTTTTGGGATCCCCAAACAAGTCAAGCAACCTGCCTGTTGTGGCACTGTGGCGGAGGACTTGCCTTGCTTCGTGCACGTTGGTCGCGGCCGCGCGCAGGAAAAAGGTTTTGCTCAGCCATGGAGGGCATGAGGTAGGGCCTTCATCACTTCCAATGAACAGCCCTAAGATCCTAAGTCAGTTCTGCATGGTTTCCTTCCATCCAAGCACAAATGGCATTGCCCAGTTTTTTCTGACTCCTTTACAAGTCATTCAGATAGTTCAAAGCTCGGCAACCACTGCGAAGTTTTTTGATTTAAGCTTTCCCCCCCACCAGCTACACACTGATTTCTCCCAAAAAGTGGTGGCAGAGGTGGGTTCCGAATCCTTCCAAGGCCTACAAAAAGCTGGACTCGGAGAAGAGTGAATTGGAGGCCACGTTGGATCATCCCCAAGCGGTTTCTATGGATGATGAAACTTTGTTGCGCTCCAAGAAGATCCCCCGTGGGAAAAATGACGTCTGTAAAAAAGGACCAAGGTGACCAAACACATTCACCCTGTTTATCCCTTGTCTACTCAAAAGCACATCATTGACCTTGCGCGGTTGCTGAGCATTGCTAGCGACAGTGAGATGGCTCAGGCCAAGCTTAAAGCCGGCTCTCCCAAGGCTGTGCCGCTCGGTGTTTTTTTTTTTCCACATGGCATCATCCCCACATCCCCACAGGCGGTTGCTTTCACTGGTTGCTTTCACTGGTTGCTTTCACTGGTCAGGCGGGCAAAGTGTCGCAAGAAGTCTTAAGCAAAGTGCAAGTGGCGCTGACAGCAGGTCTGCATCTGAGGAAGAGATATCTGAGCATTGGAAGATATTGGAAGCACATGACTGGCAACAGTCATACCAGTCCATTCCAAAGGTATTGTACTGAGGCTTCTGGAAGAGCTTTGTACTCCTTTGTGTTGCAGTTCTGCAGCAAGCCGTTTGCTGGCCCAAGTCGTCGAACTTTGCACCAGGTCTTCATACCTGGAGCAATTTTAATCATTAATCGGTCTAATCTAGGGACCCCAGTGCAAGACATGATGCACACTTCACCACACTAGACTTTCAGCCCATGCCAAGTCATTCGAGTTTGCTCTTCTGATACCGAGGATTTGCATCAAAGGCTTAGACATTTTTTTGGGTTCCATGATGTTCCATGATTTTTGGATCCAATGATCCAGTGGATGATGGTTGACCAAGTCTCAGACCCCTTTGCGATTCCTGGATGATTCCCATGCGTTCCCTTGGCGATGGCATCCGATCTCTGTGAACTTTGTGCCAAGCCACTTCGAGGCACAACTCTTCGGGCCTTGGCAGTGTTGTGGTCCCGATGTATTAATAAGGGACATAGGGGGCTGGCCAAATATTGATAAGATGCATTAAGTTGAGTTTCACAATTCATTGATCCTGTGTCAACATTACAGCACTAATTCCCTTCACTGTCATAAACTCCAAAAGTCCATCACTGAAATGGCCACTTGAAGAGGGAAACCATGATCAACCATTGCTTGGTAGGGGTACACCCCAGTTCTGGGCAAACCCATGTGTTGTAGGCGAACCACAAAAAGAGCTGGTTTGCGAACATGTGTGCCATGAAGCCTGCGACAAAGTTGCTCGGCTGCCCTTGTTTTTTGGCGTTTGAAGCCAAAATTGGACCTATTTCAATCTATTTCAGCAAGCTTGGGGCGAAGAACAACATCATTTTCATTGGAATGCCATGGAAAACCGTGGCACCCCGTGGCGTTTTTTTGGCAACTTGGAAGTGGACGTGTTTGGCCAAGGAGATGCAAAACTTTGTGGGAACTGCAAATCCGTGCCAGTGCAAACGTAGTCACAAACTCAGTTCGTGAGGTTGGACAGTCCCCGTACATTCTCTGAAGATGTGAGGTTGATTCGTGTTGATGATGATTAAAATTGATGATTAAAATTCCGAAAATCTATGAGACCCTAGCAAAATCCGGGTCCGAATTCAGGGCTTCATTTCTATTCATTAGTTCGTCAGAAAACCCGGAATGAAATAGGGGCCCCAATGTCTAAAATCTTGCTGCTTTGTTTCGCCCACCACTTGCCTTCCAAACCTGTCGTCTTCACTGATGATTATTGGTCATGGCTCCCAGGCAGCCAAGCCTGTTCTACAGAGGATCTACTCCTACATGTGCCTTGTCACAGCACTTATCAGCACTTCCGCCGCGGACGATCCGGGCAACAGGTGACAACTTTGTTCAGTTGGTACACGAAATATCGGAGGTCTATGGAGGTCTTGCAGCTAGGGTTTATGGAGTTGAGCCATCCAAGTCATTTTTTGTCCCACAGTTGGGTGTGTGTGGCTTATTTTGCGTTCGAAGTTAGTTTTGCAGCATGGTGAAGCCAAGGAATCTGGCATTGCCTGTGTCAGGAGCGACCATGTCGCTTGGATCAACTGTCATCGACCCCGTTTTACTCGAAAGTTATTTGCAGATACTCGCAGTATGTCTCAAATTTGAGGGTTCACAAGATCCAGCAACTTGGAATACTTGTTTGTCTTGCATCCGGCAACCCAGACCGATTTCATGGGCCCTCTGCAGTCATCGACCCAAGGTGCGCTCAGTGAGACTCCTGAAGGAACTCTTGCGATCGAAGCCGCCTCTTTGCTGAAGATAGGGATCTTGTGGAGCCAGAGAACGAGTGACTCAAGAATAGAGACACCACGAAGAACCCATGAAATACCCATGAAGCTGCTGGCTTTGGATGTTTTGGACAATCTAATCGTCTTAGGGACGCAAGTTGGGGAACCCCCTCAAACATTTCAGAGTTTGAAATCCTCAATGTACGGACTCGCTGTTGATCATTATACCCCAAGGGAGTTGATCAATTTCTAATCGTGCCAGACGTTGTCGGAGCTGGATCGAATCGAATATGATTTTATTCGCGGGGATGATGCTAAACTCCTTTTGGTGGATGATGCCCAAATACGCCGGTGTTGCTGGATGGGGAGTTCTGTGGTGGGATTCCCATGATATTTATGAATTTCTATGATTGAGTTTTTTCGAATTAATCAACCATAATTATTCTAGTACTGCTAAATACCAAGGGAATTCTTAGCACAAGTCGTGAAACCACGTCTGTTCTCAATACGGAAGCCAGATTCCAGTTCCGTTCCAGGTCTAAAAACACAGAAGCCCGGGCCTTTATGGTCCTGGGGCAAGCCTATGCCAGCGGGCGAGGTGTGAAGCAGGACATCTCCGGCCAAAAAGCGCCGCCTTTCCCCACCATTTTTGGGAAAAAACTCAGAGTTTTGCACTTCAACAGCAATGGAACGGTTTCAAAGGATGTAAGATTAGTGCCTATTTAACACTGTTTGGGTATGGGTCAAAGTTGGGGTAAGGTTTCATATAAGACCAATACATACCAATACCACTTTGGATGTCTGACAAGTCCATGGTGGACATATGTTTTGCTATCAGCACCGCACAGCTGTCGACGAGCTGCATCTCTGACCATGTCTGGTGCAATGCTGACCTGCGAGCAATTGACTGCAGAATTCACTTCATCTTGTGGAACTTCTGTTGGAATCATGTTTTCTGATTACATGCTGAATTTCGGGTCTCCAATTCTAGGCTTAGGCTACGCCGGCGTATACTCCTCTTCTCCAACTGGTTTAATTATGTGTTGAATGCAAAACATTCGAATCGTTCGAACATCTAGGAGGGTTGCTGTGCTTGCATTGACAGTCCCGCAAAGGCTCAAGCACTCTTTATGTCTTGACACAATAGATCACAATAGAGCCAGGCAAGTCGCCTCGAGAAATTTTGCAGAGGAACAGAGGAACAGATTCTCAGCAGTCTGAGCAGACTTCAGAGTTTAGCATTCATAAAGACGACAGGGTTTTGATGCCGGCAGGAGCAAACATGAGCAAACATCTAATCACCACTGCAACTTTTGTGCAAGTTTTGCCCAAACAGTATTATGCTTCAAGCCCCTTCAAACTCTGTCATGAGTCATGACCCAACGACGACAGTCGCAGACACACCATAAATTTCCACAAGCAGCCATGATGCCCCATAGCACACAGAAGCATACACGTACTCAAACATACGCATGCGCAGTATGCGCAGTATGATTTATTGTCTTGATGTTTGTCCAAGGAAGCGACTTGTCTTTTTTGAAACCATGCTTGAGCCATGGTAGGACAAGCTGATGGCAAAAGAGTTCTGCGATAAAGCGAGCGAAAGTCTGGAAGAGGCTCCAAAGTTGCCAATGCGGACCATCTTTTGATGAACCGAGCATAACCGAGCTATATTGTTTTTTTTCACGGTCCCCAGGACAATAGGATTTTTGAATATTTTTTTGTCCAATTTTTTGCTGAACTTCAGAGGATTTTCCGATTCGATGACAGGCCAAGAGACAGGAGGAAAGTCAGCGTTTCTTGCCTGAAACTCGGGGTGGCTTCTGGGGATGGTGAGTTGGAGGGGGATGGCTTGAGAGTTCACTGATAGAAGTTGACAATAAGTTATATGACATATATATTCTAATCAGATTGCACTCCATGATCTTCCTGTCGACTTGATCTAGTCAATGATTTTCACCTGCTTCAATCCAACCCAATACAAGTCTTATTACCAATCCTTTTTTTGTAGTGCAGACCCGGAACATTGCCTTAACTCAACTGAAAGAGAACAATTAGCTTTCATTGCCTCCCTTGCCGCTCTCAGCAGAGCAGGAGAATCAAACATGTCAATGCTTTGGGGAAAGCCATGGGCGGTAGAAGCTGAGGATTACCCGTCACGGGAATTCTTAAAAAATAATACGACCCCCTAAAGACTCTTTCTATTACTATAGCCTATTTGATCTATTTGCACCCAGCATATAGCCCAACATTCAGCATCACTGTTACTTTGTTTTTACTCGCACTACTTTTAAGCCCCCAAGACAATCCAAATTTGATGGATTTTTATTTAAGAATTATAGAATTTTATAGATATTTTTAGTAATCAATTTCTACTATGCATACATTTATTTGTATCTAGCAACCCCCAAAAAGATAAAACAGCCAAATCCGACTAAGATAATGATGATAATGGCACTCTTCTATCTTTTGAAGGTCACTATATACACATTCCATGGATGGAGCACCTTCCCCATCCACCTCAACAGGACTTTCGAAGAGCCTGGAGCGACGAAGGCGCCATGTTGAGGAAGCTGTCACCAGGAGAATGAACCTACCAGTTGTAGGATGCTGCCGTAGATAAGTATAGATAAGTGACAAAGCTGGGGATATGAAGGGCTGGGAACAAGATCAAACTATATGCATCTATATGCCAGATATTGATCAGAACTAGAAATACAAGAGGAATTGAATGATTTAAGCAGGAGCAAAACTGGGTTGTGCAAGAATTGTGAATGTCCGAAGTCCCGTTGTTTCCCGGCAAGAATGAACAATCAATGGTTGCATTGTGCGTTTCAATGGTTGGGCAGGCGTCAACCAGATGCACAAGAGATTGAGAAAAAACCGTGCAGATACTTCCTCTACGCGAAACACGGATGCAGCCGCGGCAGCGAATGCCCATGGCCGGTGCCTAAGAGCCCAAGAGCTTCAACCGCTTCGACCGATTCAGCACTTCTCAGCCATCCCAGCCATGCTCTTGGCACAGCATCTTGGCAGGCCACACAAGGAGCCCTCACCGAGAAGGACGGAAGCAGTCTTGCACAACGATGCAGCATTTTACACTGCATATGTTCTATCTATCATGGTGTAATTGTCCTGTTTCTTAAAATCAACTGTTCTTTGTTTTTTAATTTTCCGGTTGCAGTTGCAGACCATTTTCCAATTTTCTCTTTGACCGGCGTGGCACGTGAAACTTGGCCCATGGATATGATGGCATGTACTGGGATAATAAGAAGTAGTATTAAGGACAAACAATGATAACGACAATAATGATAATAATCAAGAATCTCAGAGGCATTCACTGACATTGCTTTCACTACACTTTCATTGCGAGATTAATTATTCTTTCTGAAGTGATGCCTCATATCATCACAGCCACAGCCTTTGAGTTGGATTGGGGCTTTGGTCAGGCGTGAATCGGAAGCCCCGCAAGCTCAGGTGGGTTTGCGTTCATCATCACACAAGATTGATAGCCTCAGAACAGACATGAGTCTGAAGATGATATTCGTCCTAATATGATATGATATTATATATATATTGATATATTCTTGATGTGCTGTGGATGTGATTGTGGAATGTGCAGGATGAGAAGAAACCTTGGAGATCCGGGAAACTCTGCAGATATTTTGAAAAGGGATACTGTCGAGACGGCAGTCGTTGTCGCTTCTCACATAGGGAGGAAGCGAAGGACGAGAGAACGGCGACTGGAGGATCCACCCATCGGGACCTGAAGCGGTCGGAGCTATCATCACCCAACAGGACGGGAACATGTTGGGTGCTGCTCAGATCCTTGTCTCGCTGTGGCTAGAAATGGTGGAACATATGTTTGTAACCTCCAGTAAACGAACTTTCTCGTAGCTACAATGGAAAATGGAACATCTATAGATGATTTACCTGTTAAGCATGATAATTTCCATAGCTTTGTCAATTTATGGCATTGTTATACTTGAAGTGAACAATGACCGGCAGCTTTTTGCATCCTCCATGGGCGGCGTCACTAGCCTTCAGGACGCCCATCAAACGAAAAAGCCGATCAGGTGCTGCTGGGTCTCCTCGGATGCAAAGGACTGGAAGATTGGAACCATTTGGAGCCATTGACACGACCTGTTTATAAGATTTTATAAGTAGATTATCACGTAATACCACTTTTGCCTTGCAGAAATCTGATATTTTGTTTCTTTTTTCCAGGGAGAATGACTTGAAATGGCTCTTTGGGAGAGAGAAGCAGCTGTTTGTGCAAGAGGGCTATGCGAAAAGGTATGAGAACTTTCAAGAATGAGAATGGAAGTCCGTTTCAGATCCTTGTTCACTCTCATTCAACCAACTCGATAGCATTAAAAGTTGAAATGGCAGAATGGATGGCATATCCAAGAGACATATCTTTTGATAATAAACAAATAGAGGGAAGAGATGAATGAACTTGAATGATGTTTTCGACCTACTTTCAGGAGACATCGGGCTCAAGATAGCCGCTCACCTACGAGGTTTGGGATTTTGGACCCAACCGTTCATCAATGTCGCCAGATCATGCTGATTCTTCTGATCATGACTGTGTTTTGGTGGTGCAGGCGTCATTCAGGCAGAGGCCATTCGAGGGAAGGATGGGCATGATGGGCTACACATACAACTGTGAGTACTGCTGATGAGTTAGCTGGAAGTGGATGGAAGTGGATGGAAGTGAACCTTGAAGGTGGACGGGATGTGCTTCCTTCTCCAAAGAGGACTGGAACGCTGGAGCCATTCACGTGGAGCATTTCATGATCTGTGCAAACATGTCTTTTTGGATGCACTCACAGCGTGCGTTCTCTTCCAGTATGTCGGTTTGAAGATGAGATCAGACATTGACAGAATGTATATTCAAATCAACTCGACCTGTTTATGTCAGTTCATGGACTCTACTTGGTAGCAGTTCAGTGGAATCAGAAGCAGAGCCGACATTTCCTATAAGCTGAATCATACTCAATTAGTTTTGCCAAACAGAGCTAGGGCAAGATGAATGAACTTGAATGATGTTTTCGACCTACTTTCAGGAGACATCGGGCTCAAGATAGCCGCTCACCTACGAGGTTTGGGATTTTGGACCCAACCGTTCATCAATGTCGCCAGATCATGCTGATTCTTCTGATCATGACTGTGTTTTGGTGGTGCAGGCGTCATTCAAGCAGAGGCCATTCGAGGGAAGGATGGGCATGATGGGCTACAGATACAACTGTGAGTACTGCTGATGAGTTAGCTGGAAGTGGATGGAAGTGGATGGAAGTGAACCTTGAAGGTGGACGGGATGTGCTTCCTTCTCCAAAGAGGACTGGAACGCTGGAGCCATTCACGTGGAGCATTTCATGATCTGTGCAAACATGTCTTTTTGGATGCACTCACAGCGTGCGTTCTCTTCCAGTATGTCGGTTTGAAAATGAGATCAGACATTGACAGAATGTATATTCAAATCAACTCGACCTGTTTATGTCAGTTCATGGACTCTACTTGGTAGCAGTTCAGTGGAATCAGAAGCAGAGCCGACATTTCCTATAAGCTGAATCATACTCAATTAGTTTTGCCAAACAGAGCTAGGGCAAGATGAATGAACTTGAATGATGTTTTCGACCTACTTTCAGGAGACATCGGGCTCAAGATAGCCGCTCACCTACGAGGTTTGGGATTTTGGACCCAACCGTTCATCAATGTCGCCAGATCATGCTGATTCTTCTGATCATGACTGTGTTTTGGTGGTGCAGGCGTCATTCAGGCAGAGGCCATTCGAGGGAAGGATGGGCATGATGGGCTACACATACAACTGTGAGTACTGCTGATGAGTTAGCTGGAAGTGGATGGAAGTGGATGGAAGTGAACCTTGAAGGTGGACGGGATGTGCTTCCTTCTCCAAAGAGGACTGGAACGCTGGAGCCATTCACGTGGAGCATTTCATGATCTGTGCAAACATGTCTTTTTGGATGCACTCACAGCGTGCGTTCTCTTCCAGTATGTCGGTTTGAAAATGAGATCAGACATTGACAGAATGTATATTCAAATCAACTTGACCTGTTTATGGATTCTACTTGACGGTTTTTAAGATATATTTATAATATATATATAATGAAATATAGCGTGAAATAGCATCATGTTTTATCATGTTTTACATTAGTTGATCTGACGCGGAGCGTTTGACCAATTTTCAGGATCACCGGGCGACATAGCCGCACACCTCCGAGGTCACTGAGATGAATTGGCCTCGAAACCCGATGTCGGTCTGTCCATGGCATGATGGTCCTGCCTCCAAGGCAACCGGATGGCCGTCCAAAGGAAGGTGAATCGGAAGTGCCATCCAGAAGGATCGGAGGGATCCTTTTGGAAAACATTGGAAAACCATTTAATCATCATGTGCTTCTGCGAAAACATGTCTCTTACAGATGCACTCAGAGGGTGGATTGACTGAGCTTGAACACAACGAGCTGCTTGTGAGTCACAGCTATGTAGTAAAGCTATGTATTTGTCCGAAAATTAAAAAGAAAGGAGAATTGCTTCATGCCAGTTGAAGTGGAAATAGCAGTAGAGCTCGAATGTCGCCAGCTGCTTTAGGGCACCTGTGCGGCAAGAAATCCGATCGCCTGTGCCTCCGCAAAGGACTGGAAGACTGCAGCCATGTAAAATCATCTAAAAACATCATGACCTCTGCGAATGTGTATTTCCCTTTTGCTCTTTTTGACACGAGGCTATCATGTGTAGAAAACCTTGGAGCATTGACAGTTCAAGTTTTCTTTGACATGTCCATTGTAAAGCAGCCACTTTCTTCAGGAGACATCCTGGTGAAGGGGATCCAAAAAAGAGTGCTTCAACCACTGTTGCGCGTTCTGAGTGTGGGCCACAGTGAGCATGATTTGTTTTGGTTATCCAATTTTTTGCAGAGATGCTTTGTCTTGGTACTTGATCACCTGCAGTTTTTGCCGATGTGAGGAATGCCCGGAATGCCTTGAGAAGTCAGATTTTTGATAGAAGGTGACACACTTTTTAGAAGGTATCGTGTGACTCATGATGAAGAAAATTTGGGCTGAGTTAAATTTACAATATATATATGTATACAATATATATCATATTGTGTATATATATATACGTACACATATATCCACGTGATCCTAAGAATTATCCAAAGTTCTAGATTACCCTAGATGATCCGAACTTATCCAAACAATCATGATCGAAAAATCCAGTTCTAAATTTGGGAAATTTCCCCGTTTCCCATCACCAAGGCAGACTGGAGTAGCGGATCAGATAGCCCCAAATGTGGCGTGTCCACGGGCTCATAGCAGATCCAGAACCAGGAGATGGGGAAGACCTGGATGGAATCTGGGGTTGGGACCATTAAACAAAAACAAAACTAGGGATTTACCTGGGAAAGTGATGATAAACATGGATAAACATGGATAAATATGATCAACAGGACAATAAACATAATAAACTCTGTTTTGTGCTGGTCCCCATTTTGAGACATACCTATACCTAGAAGAACCCTTAGGCACTTTTTTCTGCCCTCGGCGCCTAGGCCGCCGCATAGGCACTTTCATCCGGAAGTTTGCAAAACTCGGCAGATTTACTGTATATTGATGTAGGCATTTTTATCTCAAGACGTTTTTTGTGCTCCGACATCATTTTGTGCCTAGGCATTTCCCGGAATCTAGGCGGAAAAACCCGGAATCTAGGCGAAGAAAAGGGGATTTTGGCAGAATTTGGCAGAATTTTGTTCGAAACATTTTTCTGCACTGAACAACATGACAAGACCACACAAAAATGTATCAGCCTCGGCATTTTTTTTGGGCCTAGGCATTTATTCTGGGAATCGGCAGAAATAAACGCCTACAGGCAGGTTAGGCACTTTTTTCTGCCTAGAGGAGTTTGTAGGTATTGTGGCATAGATCTTGCAACATCAGTCTGTTGGACGCAGCAAAAATCAAAGCATCGGAAACAAGTCTTTGTCGGAAAAGTTCACGTAGCTGACGTGTCAAGCACAATCTGCAGTGTAAAGATATCTTGCTATAGTTTGGATGAATTTGGTTTAATGTTTTCCTAGTGTTTGCCTTGATTTCTTCCTAATCATTGATTTTCTCCAAACCACAAGGGAAACCGCAAAGGACATCCAGCCCCAGGAGACGCGATCGAGATGCGGCTAAGAAGGTTGCCACGACGGCACGGCCCAAACGCCACCGCCTCAATCTTCGATCAATGTGAATCAACATGAATCAACGGTCCTTGGGTGATATTTTTCTGATTTTCAGCTGGGATGAAAAATTATGATGTTGATTCTGGATTTGCTTTCAAACTTTCGATCGATGAGTGCAACGGACTTTGGTGTGCGGCGCCGTCTGCATGTCAACACTCTTGAAGATGTCCTGAGCCACTGATGGGCAAAACTAGCTGAGGCATGCTGAGGCTAGTATCATTGTTGGTTTGTTTTTTTGGAAATCTCAACCACAGATGCCCTCCCAAATTTCCAAACTGATCATTTGACACTGCTAGCTGTCCAACACCCAAGAGCGGGCTGGGCAAATCTGGGTTTAATCCCTTCCCCCTAATACTAAACCCCCCTGCCAAATAATAAACACCTCAGATAGTTTTTATTATTAGGGGGGCATTATTTATTAGGGAACCCTATTAATAAATTCAAAACCTGAATAATAAAAGCTATTTTTTCCGATTTCAAAATGAATTAAATTTCCTTTTATAATGCAATTAAATGCAATTAACATATTGCCAAAAATTGGATTTAAAAACGGACCCTATTAATAAATTTGAAACTTAATAATAATAAAAACGATTTTTTCCGATTTCAAAATCAATTAAATTTCCTTTTATAACGCAATTAAAATTGCCAAAAATCGGATTTCGAAGCGGACCCTATTAATAAACTTAAAACTTAATATATAATAATAAAAACTATTTTTTCCGATTTCAAAATCAATTAAATTCCTTTTATACCGCAATTAAAATATTGCCAAAAATTGGATTTAAAAACGGACCCTATTAATAAATTTGAAACTTAATAATAAAAACGATTTTTTCCGATTTCAAAATCAATTAAATTTCCTTTTATAACGCAATTAAAATTGCCAAAAATCGGATTTCGAAGCGGACCCTATTAATAAACTTAAAACTTAATATATAATAATAAAAACTATTTTTTCCGATTTCAAAATCAATTAAATTCCTTTTATACCGCAATTAAAATATTGCCAAAAATTGGATTTCGAAGCGGACCCTATTAATAAACTTAAAACTTAATATATAATAATAAAAACTATTTTTTCCGATTTCAAAATCAATTAAATTCCTTTTATACCGCAATTAAAATATTGCCAAAAATTGGATTTCGAAGCGGACCCTATTAATAAATCTAAAACTTTAATAGTTTATTTTTTTTCCGATTTCAAAATTAATTAAATTTCCTTATATAACGCGATTAAGATATTGCCAAACATTGGTTTTCGAAGCGGGCCCTAATAATAAATTAAAAGCCCTAACTAATATAAAAAAACATTTTTTTTTCGGACGGACCCTAGTAATAAACACCCCGGGGTTGACTAGTTTTTACTGTTAGGGGGCGAAACCCACAAATGGTAGCTCTATTTGTAAATTGTTTTCTAAAGGGGATCAATTAAAAGTCAAACTGGCCAATCTGAAATTTTCCAAAATTAGAGATGGACCCTAGTTTTTATTATTTGGGGGGTTAGTAATAGGGGGAAGGGATTAGTATGGTTTAGTACTTCCATGGTTGAAGGTTGTTGCCATTTTGATGGGACTAGAGACATACCACACCCACCAGCTAAGGGCAGAGCGCTCCACCTCCAAGACCTGCGGACGGCACAGCAGTCTGGAGTGCAGGGCAAAAGGGAAAGGAAGCAGAGAGGACCGTCCCCTGCTGTTTCGGCTTTGCCGAAATACTTCTGCCGGATGCCCTTTGTTTGAGCGCCATGCTACTGCCATGATGACTCATTTTCTGAAGTTGCCTGGGTTTGGTATGTTTTTGTATGTTGTTGAAACATCTCAGGAGGCCCACCAAAGAAGTGCAAGTCCCAAAGCCAGTTGAAGCCCCACGGCCCAAGCGTAAAGCCGAGGGCTTCGACAGCCCACGACCCAAGAGGAAGGCGGAAGGCTTCAGTGAAAGCGACTGCAGCGAGGAACCTGAGGCAGAGGCAGCGGCAGAAACTCCACCGGCGAAGGAAAATGAGCTGAAAGATGAAGCTCGTGCAGCTCAAAAGCCATCAGCCAAAGAACCAGATGATGATCAGGAAAAGAGGCTGGGCAATTCAGCTTCCTGCACTGTTTCAATTTCAATAGTGATCCTTCAACGATCGTCGACGATCGAGTGTTGACCATGGCCAGGTGGAATTCCTTCGTAGAATTTGCCCAGGAGGTGGAGTTCCCGGCATCAGCAGCATCCACTCCAGCACCAGCTGCGGCGGCAGCGGCCCCAGCGGCCCCAGCGGCACCACCGGCCCCAGCGGCCCCAGCAGCATCAGCAGCATCAGCAGCATCAGCAGCATCAGCAGCATCAGCTGCCCCGGCCCCAGGCGCGCCAGCCATACCGGCCGAGGCGGGCACCGTGGAGTTTCCCAAGCCGGTGCCGAAGCGAAAACCGGGGCACAGCCTTGCGAAAACTCGAGAAACACTACGACCAACGGAAAAAACAGAGAACGAGACTGAGATGCAGGTGCGAGAGTGAGATGATGCATGGAAGTATTGGTTAAAGAATGTTTAAGTTCCATTGCTGATTGGCAGGAAGGTTCTGATTTTCCTAATGTGGATTGTAGTGTGATTTAATATGATTTCAGCATTTTAAAGCTGACGTTAGTCATTTGTCCGATACATGTCAAGGAGTCCCTAGAGGGAGCCTTGTGGGCGCTTTTTTTGAGGCCCTGGACCCAGATCTTGCTGCTCAGCCACCTAGAAAAGAAGCAGTCGCTAAGCCAAGACCATCTGAGAAAGTCACAGAGGCCCCCGGAAGACATGCAGAAAGAAACTAATCAGCAGAATCCAGAGAGCAATGCTGCAACAGTGTCAGTAGCGTCATTGTTTTGTTTGCTTTTGGTCCAAAGCGCGAACGTCCAGGATCTCCCAGATTTTTCCTGCTAGTAGAGTTGTCATATCTTATAGAAACAATTGGACCTCATGTCCACCTTGATTGAGATCCAAACAAAAGGTGGGCGGCCTGGTTGCTCTGCCACCTTGATACAAAGAAGTCTCAAACCAAAATACCTCAAATCTCCTGACGTCATGTTTGATGACTTTTCTTCCCAACTCTTGGTCAACCAGGATCAGAATCACCAATCTGGTTGCCTGGATTTTGCTGCTTGGACTTGACAACTTCAGTTGCAAAGTCTGCCAGGTGCCACTTGCTGAGAAGGTAAAGGAAGAGCCAAAGCCAAAACCAACAGAGAAAATACGGGAGGCTGCATTGGACAGGGCTCCAAGATATTTCAACTGTACGGCTTGACTTGCAGCTGCAAAGTGTAAACATGTCGCAGTTTGAGTTTTCAACCCTGACCCTGCCAGTTCAAGATCGGAGGGCATGGCTATTCACTACGTAATTAGTCACTTCTTAGATTCTAAGTTGAAACGTTGACATATTGAATTTCAACCTCTTTAGTGGCCCGTACAGTATCCAGTCCAACACTTCTGTGAGTCACACCCGACACATCTTTGATGGTCAGGCTGCAGAAGTCGCCAAAGACACTGCGACAAAGCCCAAGCCCAGCGGAAACGAGCTGTCCACGCAGGCCTTGTTGGAAGAGACACGGAGATGGTTTTGGTCGCTTGAGTTAGAGACATACCCACCATGCAGAAGCTTTCAAGTGAGTTTGGTGGTTGCGGGGCTTTTACACGATTAGCATCAGCAAACACATTGAAACTGGTGGAGAAAACAAAAGCCAGCCAGGCCAATGCGGCCCCTGCGCCTGACCCTATGACGCTGGAGGTTTCAAGTGACGAGGCGTCGCAAGACTTCACGTTGAGGGCCGATAGTTTGGCAGGAAAACCACAATCAGGGAGGTGCAGGACCAAAATCAGGGCCATGGTTGGCCCCTGATTTTGGAACATGTCCTGGCATTGTTTGAAAATTTTGAAAACAATTGAAAACCTGTATCAACCTCTCGCATTCACTTTGAGATCTTTGAGCCCAGTTGAAACTTGGCTCAGCCAGGAGGCCTCACCAAAGCCTGCGCGCGTACCCCGACGCCTGCCACGACCGAGCAAAGGGGTTGAAGGCTCCAAGGGCTCACAGGCCCCGGCACCGGTTGGGGGATCTTTTGCGATGTGAAAAAGCATCCATGAGGACTTCAGATCCAGATGATCCAGGTCCTGGACCAGGTTCATCCTGGTTCATCCTGGTTCATCCTGGTTCATCCTGGTTCATCCTGGTTCATCCTGGTTCATCCTGGTTCATCCTTGGTTATTCCTGGTTCATGTTTGTCATTGTAAGTACCTGCAAGAGTCCAAGCCGGCTCAAGCTACAAAGGAAACTGAGGCACCACTTTGCTGGCTTTCCAAGACGTGTGCACGCCTCATACAAACACTGATCTTAGCACGCTGAGTTTACGTTTGTCAGAGTTTGAAGCTCCCCAGACGGAAGTCCAAAGAATGTCCAAAGAATTTGGCACATCTCCAGGATCATCTCCGTGCCATCTGCGGTAGGCTGTCCCCATACAAAAGCAAGCTGTGCGCCGGACTGTTCGATCGGTCGGCAAGGCGGAGGGATTGCAGTGCAGATGGAATGACTGTGGCATCACTGTGGCATCAGATAGTGTCGGTATCGTTAGCGGTCGCTTTTTGGGGCGAAATGGGCAGTGTAGCTTCGAGATGTGCGGAGTTGCTAATGGCGAGGTTGACATACTCACTGTGCATACAAAGAAGTAATCTAGTTAAAGGGCTACCGCCCCCTGCCGCCGACCCCAGACGAAGTCAAGCAGGAATTTTGCAGCCCCCTACTTGTGGCAGCATACAGTCCAGGACTTTGTCCTTGGAGTTATATATATATATGCATGTGTACGTAGTCCAGGACTCTTCCTTGAAGTTGTGCGTCAAAAATATAACACAACAATTGGTCCATGGTATGTTTTGAATCAACAACAAATGATCCTTTGCAGTCCAGGGATTGAGTCTTCAGACACAGGCGTGGCACTTGGTGACATGGATCATCACTTTGCGTAGCAGGCGTCGCATTTATGGCACTGGGCTGGCTCTGGTGGCGCGCTTCGGCCGGAGCGGACGGGGTGGACGCCGCGGCTTTTTGTGTGGCAGGCGTGGCACTTGGTGACATGGACTTGCACTTTGCGTGGCAGGCGTGGCACTTGGTGACATGGATCGTCACTTTGCGTGGCAGGCGTGGCGCTTATGGCACTGGGCTGGCTCTGGTGGCGCGCTTGGGCCGGAGTGGACGGGGTGGACGCCGCGGCTTTTTGCGTGGCAGGCGTGGCACTTGGCGACACCGACTTGCACTTTGCGTGGCAGGCGTGGCACTTGGTGACATGGATCGTCACTTTGCGTGGCAGGTGTGGCACTTATGGCACTGGGCTGGCTCTGGCGCCGTGCTTGGGCCGGAGTGGACGATCCATGTCATCAAGTGCCACGCCTGCCACGCAAAGTGCAAGTCCATGTCACCAAGTGCCACGCCTGCCACGCAAAAAGCAGCGGCGTCCACTTTGCATGGCAGGCGTGGCACTTATGGCACTGGGCTGGCTCTGGTGGCGCGCTTGGGTCCCAGTTGACGCACAACTTGTCCACACACCACTTACTCACACACAACTTACTCACTTTACTTTGTCACACACAACTCTTTCACACACAACACTTTTACATACACAAACTTACACACACAACACTGTCGCACACAGCTCTTTCACCTGTCTTGCACCATCTCCTTTCCTTCCTGCCTTTCCCATCTCATTTTCACATCTGCTTGGTGATCATTGGAAGAAGTTGATTTGTGGGGTTATCCGGTCCTTTAATTCTTTTTTACCGCTTACTGCTTGGCTCATGAAAAGCTAAATGAATCTGATCGAAGACAGAAAAGCGATCATTGACCAGTCACAATAAAAAAGCACTTGTCATTCTGGTCATCAGTAATACCCAAACTTCTTGTAAGATCATCGTCAACACTGATACTAAGTGCGTTACTGTGCGCCTTGGAACTTGATGGTCGGTGTCCCTTTGCTAGGGCTGGTGGAAATCCATTGGTGTCACGTAGTCCATTGCTTCAACCGAGACTGAAAATAAGAAGCAGAAGCGCCCGAATGAAGAATTAGCAGCCTTTGTCTTGGTTTTGAGCGACATATGGTACCATGACACGACAGCGTCAAAATATGAACTGCATACTGCCTTGCAGGCTGGCATTGAACTACATTTCTTGGCGCTTGTCATGCTGGTCATCAACAACACCTAAATAGCGTGTAGGAATCAAAGGTTTTTTTTCCACTACTTTTTGCCCACTGAGGAATGTGCGCTGCAGCTGGTTGATGCTGATGATCAGAAGATGATGCTTGTCTATTGTTTGTCCGCAAAGTAGATCAGGGGCTGCCTGTGCCTGTTTTCCATGTAACTTACTGTAACTTACCTGTTTCTTCTGAGGACGAAATTTGTGAAAGGCAGCAAGGTGTTGTATGTGGGGGGCATGTTCAGTTATGCAGTGCTGCAGGGCTCCATCAAGGCAGTTGTCTGCTGCTTCAGCAATGGGCACCTGGATCTGCAAGCTTCAGAAATAATTAATGGATACATTCCAGATAATTACTGTGAATAAATGATTCATTTTGGATTCTTTGTTCAATGTTCGTTGTGTTGAAAATGATTCTATCGCGCACTGTTCCAGAATAGAAGCAACGTTTTGCTTCAATGTTTTCCAACCAAATGCAAAACTGCCAAAATTGGGTTTTGCAGCTGAAATTCGCTGAATTTAGGAACATCCAGATGATCCTTGGTTTCGCAGCAAAAATATCAATTTGGCTCTTCTTCCATCTCAACTTTGGCATTCCTTATTTGCAGTTCTGGAGTTTTCTTGCCCTGAATTTTGAAAATTAGAGTCTATGGTGGTAGAAAACATCGAACCAAAAAGTATCGCACTGTTGCTGACAGAGTCTTCCCTCTTGAGTGTATGCACTTGTGGTGCGCATGAACAACTGAGGGTTATCATTCTTCAGTGGGCACTCCTGCTCTTAACTCATGTGACAGCCTTGGGGATCAAAGCCAATTTGAGAAAGGTCTGGATGGCTCAGGACCCCTATAAAGATAGCAAGATAGGACGATAGGCACAAAATCTATCTATCTAACTATCTATCTATCTACCTATCTATCTACCTATCCATCTGTCTATCCATCCGCCCATCCATCTATCTACCTATCTATCTATCTTTCTTTCTGTCTATCTATCTACCCATCCATCCATCCATCCATCTATCTATCTCTCTCTCTCTCTATCTATCTATCTATCTTTCTGTCTATCTATTTGCCCATACATCCATCCATCCATCTATCTACCTACCTATCTATTCATCCATCTGTCTATCTACCTATCTCTCTATCTATCTATCTATCTATCTTTCTGTCTATCTATTTGCCCACCCATCCATCCATCCATCTATCTACCTACCTATCTATCTATCTTTCTGTCTATCTATTTGCCCACCCATCCATCCATCCATCTATCTACCTACCTATCTATCTATCTAATCTATCTAATCTATCTATCTATCTATCTATCTGTCTATCTATCTATCCTATCCTATCCTATCCTATCCTATCCTATCCTATCCTATCCTATCCTATCTGTCTATCTATCCTATCCATCTATCTATCTATCTACCTATCTATCTATCTATCTATCTATCTATCTATCTATCTATCTATCTATCTATCTAATCTATCTATCTATCTATCTACCTATCTATCTATCTATCTATCTATTTATCTATCTATCTATCTACCTATCTATCTATCTATCTATCTATTTTTTCTTATCTATCTTATCTATCTTATCTATCTTATCTATCTTGTCTATCTTATCCACCTTATCCATCTTATCCATCTTATCCATCGTATCCATCTTATCCATCTTATCTATCTTATCTATCTTATCCATCGTATCTATCCTATCCATCTTATCTATCTTATCTATCTTATCTATCGTATCTATCTTATCTATCTTATCTATCTTATCCACCTTATCCATCTTATCCATCTTATCCATCTTATCCATCTTATCCATCTTATCTATCTTATCTATCTTATCTACCTTATCTATCTTATCTATCTTATCTATCTTATCTATTTTATCTATCTTATCTATCTTATCTATCTTATCTACCTTATCTATCTTATCTATCTTATCTATCTTATCTATCTAGCTATCTTATCTAGCTATCTTATCTATCTTATCTATCTATCTATCTATCGATCGGTCTATCTATCTATCTATCTATCGATCTATCTATCTATCTATCTATCTATCGATCTAGGCTCACGAAGGAACCGGGTAGATGCAGTAAATCCCACCGCGACCATTTTTATTGAATTGTGAAAGATCCATAGCTCTGGGAGCAATGGCAGACGAGATGAGGAGTCGCTCACCAAGAACAGGCTATGAGGCAGAACAAGCCCCGCCAAACGGTGAGCAAGACCAAATTCGCAAAGACCTCCTAGCATTACAAGCCTTAGTCCACACACAAGGAGGCAGGCTCAACACTATTGATCAAAGGTCAGCACATACAAAGGACCAAGTGCAAAAGCAACAGCAACTCGAAGCATCCAAGCAGGCCATTGTCTCCAGCTGGCCAGACTCAGCCGGACCAGCAGACCGCACACAAGCTGTTGAACAGCTGGTCAATCGCCATGACAACCTCAAGGGAAAATACGCAAGCACCACCACCCTTCGCACAAAACAAGGATGGTCCCAATTCAGCATAGTGGAATTCTTCACAAAAGAGGCCAGAAATGAATTTGTGGAGCTTGTGAGAAAGGATGCCCTGATTTGCCATGGACAAATCGCAGTGGGTAGAGCCCAGATCCCCAAATACCAGCGCGAAGCCGACCAACCCCTCCGCTGTGCAATAGCAGTCTTCTCACAACTCACAGGCAAGCAGCAACGCTACAAGCCAACCTGGGAAATGAGCTCAGTATGGCACAACAACGAATGGATCCTCAGCATGCAAACAGCAGAACATGACAAAACCCAAATCACCATCTATGTTGCTGAAGCCCTGAAAGATCAATTCACAGAGAAATACACATCCGAATGGCAGCAGTGGGGCGGACAAAAGGGAACCACACGCAGAGCAGACGGCTACAAGCCACAGGACTTTTTCAACATTCACATCGAGACACTCACCCAGCAGACAGCAGCACCCTTGACACACAGTACGCCACACTGCAGCATCAGTGGAAGCAACCCCACACCAAAGATGAGGACGATGAGATGGACGGAGGACTTCCTGACCTGAGAGGGCAGCGCAAAGGTGAGGGCAAGCATGCGGCGCAAAGGCGCCAGTAGGACGCAGCTAACCACCACCCCATACAGCATCAGTTTCGGCCACACCAACTCTTAACGACCATTTCTGATTGGGATAACAAATCTCGCCGCCCAGTAGGCGAGCCGGGCGAACCGCGGGGCGCTGACTCTATGACCATTTCTACCGACCATTTCTTGACAGCACACAGAAATGACACAACATACCACATCCCCAAAAGGCCCCAGCGGCAACAGAGAGAGCAAAACCGGTCCAGCAAAAAACGAGGTTTCAGGTCCGAAGCCGCCCGTTTACAACGACAATGCAACCGACAACAAAAACGCAACGAACAAAGACGCATCTATCGGTGGTGTAAATCTAACATGCTATGCGTAGCAGAGGACCATGGGGGAGGTGGGTTGGGCGCCCGCATCCCAGGTCTAACACGCAAGACTGAAACCTCCATGCCCTTGAAAGACGCGCGTCTAGCTTCACACACGCGCCTCTATGAGGAGCACCGCAACCTCAACAAAGCCAGTGGAACGCAAGTATCTTTAGCATATGGTTTTAAACTCAAAATCGTCACCTTCAACGTCCGCTCCCTTTTGAAAGCAACTATGCACAGACAAATTATTGATCATATGCGCAGGCACGACATTCACATATTGTGTATGCAAGAGACGAGATCTAAGAACACAACCCAGTATGTAGTTGACAATTTTACCTTCCTGACTGTCAGCACTGTGAATACCAATCAACCAGAGTATGCAGGAGTAGGCTTCGTATTGTCCCCAATGGCCCGGAATGCCCTTTTGCGCACTTCTTTCATTAACAGCCGAATTGCTTGCATCTCAGTGCTTATACGAGGAGGAGAATTAAATATCCTGAATACATATGTACCACAGAATGCCCGACCAGAGGATGAACGTCGAGACCATTTTGAAAAATTACAACAGGCTATTTCCCAAATTGCTCGCAAAGGACCTTTTGTTGTGTTAGGGGACTTCAACTCACGACTTCAAGGCAGACTGCATGGCGAAGAGGATGTTTTGTGACCACACATGTTTGGGAAAGGGTGGACAGCTGTGGGGGAAGAGACCGACAATAGGTTCCTACTTTTGGATTTTTGTCGTGCAAATGATCTAATCGTGGCCAACACATGGTTCCAACAACCGGCAGCCAAACAGGTAACCTTCAAAGAACCGAGTACGCATTTTTTGCCTCCAGATAATACCGATTGGGATCCCGCTAACTTTGCGCAACTGGACTTTTGCCTTTTACCTCAGCGTTGGCGTAACTCCTGCAAGAATATTTACACCCAGCCAAGAGCAAATTTGGATTCCGACCATTTTCCCGTTGTTCTGTGCTTGCAAGTTAAACTCGGAGCTAAACCAAAGGCGGCACATCGCCCACGTTGGGACTTCCAACAGGCAACGGCAGCCCAAATAGACGCAATGAACGACACAATCACTACAATGCTCGAATCGGAGATACCTTACCAGGACCCTACCGCTCGATGGGGCACCCTAAGTACATTGTATGCCCAAGCCATCGACACCCACATACCAAAACAAACCCTTCAACCTAAACAACCATGGATCACACAAACTACATTGAATCTCCTGGAGAGAAGGGGGCAGCTCCGCCAACAAGGCGACCTAGCGCAAGTAGCTGAACTCAACAAGACAATCAGAAAGGCAGCAAAACTTGACAAACGCAAATGGCTAGAAGAGCGGCTTAGCACAGATGACTGGAGACCCATCACCAATCTGAAGAAGCCGTTCCCGCACAAGGCGTTCACACTAACGGACACTACCGGGCCGGGACCGCCCAGGAGCAACGCGGAAATTTTCGCTACTCATCTAGCCACCAAACAATGGCAGGAAGCAGGGCAACCGCAAGGACTAGACACCACACCTATTTATCAGAATCCTCCGACCATTTCTGAAGCGACCATGTCTATCGAAGAATTAAAATTGGCAGTGCAGTGAAACAATCAAAAGCAGCCAAACGAGCTGGTAAAGACAATATCCCAAACGATTTCTGGAAACGACTAGAGGGACGGGGCTTGGACGCGTTGGTTTCATTGTTTCAATTGTGTTGGGACTCCCAAACTAGTCCACAACAATGGAAACTTGCCCAAGTAGTAGGTATTTTTAAGAAGGGTTCTGCAACCGACCCGGCCAACTACCGACCTATAAGTTTGCTCCAAACGTGTTATAAATTGTACGCTCGCATTATCGCTAACAGATTGGCAGCAGGGCTAGATGACCGGATTAGGGAGCTGCAATTTGGATTTAGGAAGGGACGGAGTACATCTGAAGCAATATACCTAGTCAGACGGCTACAAAACCTAGTTGACGCCAAGAAATATCAAGTACTTTACCTTATGTTCCTTGATTGGAGCAAAGCATTCGACAAGATTAGGCCACCCGCACTGCATCTTGCGTTGCAGCGACTCGGAGTGCCCAATCACATGTGCGCAGTGGTGAAAGAGTTAGTTAGCAACCCTCTTTTTGAAGTAATTCTGGATGACCAAATCTCTAGCTGCAAGGAGCAGAAGAGCGGCATCCGCCAAGGATGCACATTAAGTCCGCTGCTATTCATTCTCCTTCAAACGGTGTTGTTCTACGATGTCCAAACTAAGTACCTTGCCAAGCACCCCTTGTCAGTTACCCCTCAAATCCCATTCTTCGACATAGAGTTTGCTGATGATACAGTCTTAATCGCAAGGACAAGGGAACACATGCAGGACCTCTTGTGGTACGTGCAGGATGAAGCTTCCAAATACAATTTACATCTGAACATGGATAAAACTAAACTAGTTCTATACAACAGTGACGCTTCCATTGCCTTTCGAGATGGCAGCTTAGTTCAGCAAGTATCCTCGATTGTATATTTAGGGGGGCTTATTGACCAAACTGGTAAACCTGGTCCAGAAGTTCGGCGACGGATAGGTGAAGTCTAGGCAGGTATTCCAGAAATTAAAGCGTGTTTGGAGACATGCAGGGCTATCGGTTCGTAAGAAGCTTCGCATCTACAAGGCATGCGTTGTGTCCAAACTCATTTATAACCTCTCCACACTATGGCTCACCGACTCCCAGTTAAATCATGTTGATTCCTTCCACTTTAGATGTTTACGAGCTATTGCTAACATCCCTACTACTTGGGGTGCCATGCAACAAGGTATAACCAGGGTCAGCAACCATGAAGTTCGAATGCAGTTGCGTGAAACGCTGTTGAGTCAAGAAATACGGCTCCACCAGTTAAAATTGCTAGGGCACATCTTGAGAAGGCCAATTAGACATCCATCCCGCATTGTGTCCTACAACCTTCGGGCTGGCATAAGAAGAGGCAAATGGACCGAAAACGTTATGGCCTTGGCCATGACCATTTTTAATGACCATTTCTTTGAAGGGGCAGGCGGGCAAAGAAACATTAAAGATAAAATTATAGAGGTGGCCGCAAACCGGGGGTGGTGGTTTCAAGTAGTTGGCGCTGTTAGATTTAGGTGGCGTCGCCTACGGGAGGGCCACGAGAACGGCCGCGCCCGTGGCAGTTTAAAAAAAAATCTATCGATCTATCTATCTACCTAAATCTATCTAAATCAATCAATCAATCAATCAATCAATCTATCTATCTACCTAAATCTATCTAAATCTATCTAAATCTATCTATAACGAATCTATATCTAATCTATACCTAACCTATGCCTAATCTATATCTAATCTATATCTAACCTGTATCTAATCTGTATCTAATCTATTTCTAACCTATATCTAATCTGTACCTAATCTGTGTCTAATCTATATCTAATCTATATCTAATCTATATCTATCTATATCTAACCTAATCTAATCTAATTTAATCTAGTCTAATCTAATCTAATCTAATCTATCTATCTGTCTATCTGTCAGATCAGGCCTGGATGCCAGGCCTGCTAGTTATCTCTTTCCCCTATACAGCATTTAATTTTGTGACAGCCCTTTATTCAGCTTTGGAAGAATCTTGAGTAAAACTCCTGTAGCCCATGAAGTTGCAATGAGCCCATGCCACATGCTCAACCCAGCTTATCTCAACATGAAAACCCCTGATCAGGCCTGGATGCCAGGCCTGTTAGTTATAATTTTCCCCTCTGAACTCAGAACATATATCTTTTGGGCATTACCGCATCTTAATTCTGAGGCAACCCTCTATTCTCTCATGAATCATCTGGAGTAAATCCCCTGTAGTCCATCAGTTTTGGTTCTTACATAGTTCTTTCCTTAGTTCTTCCCCTATACATATGAAGTCCACAGGAAGCAAAATTCAAGAGATGAAGGATTGAAATGCTATCTATCTACCTACCTACCTACCTATCTATCTATCTATCTAACAATCTATCTAACAATCTATCTATCAATCTACCTATCTATCTGTCTACCTATCTATCTATCTATCTATCTATCTACCTATCTATCTATCTGACTATCTATCTATCTATCTATCTACCTATCTATCTGTCTACCTATCTATCTAGCCATCTACCTATCTACCTATCTATCTATCTATCCATCCATCTATCCAGCCATCCATCCATCCATCCATCCATCCTTTATTTTTTTCTCCATCCATGTGTCTGCCTATCTATCCATCTATGTTGCCCTTCAGGTCTGACTATGCGAAAGAGGCAGGCTTCCACGGGATTGCATTCTTGCACCTGAATCCGGCATGGATGCGGGATTGGACGGAAGAGCGTGTGCAGAAGCAGTTGCCTGGAATTTCTTGGCAGAGTTTCGCAACAAAGAGCACTCAGAAACATTGTTTTGCTGGCTGTCGTGCCGGCCGCGGGCCCGATCCGTCCTTCACTGCCATGGTGTTTGAGCCTTGCGGGAGGGTCCGTTGACCGGAGCTGTGCAGGACAAAAGCCAGCTGCACGAGGACGCAAGCAAGTTGGAAGCTGGCAGTGCAGGAAGGCAAGCAAATGGAAGGTCTGAAGCTAGTTTCTACGCAGTTCAGAAAGCAACGTGCTCAAACACCATGGCAGTGAAGAACAGATCGAGCCCGCGGCCGGCAGCCCAGACTGCCAAACATTGCTGTCTCAACTGCGTAGAAACTAGCTCCAGACATTCAATTTGCTTGCCTTCTTGCACTGCCAGCTTCCAACTTGCTTACTTGTTCTTGTTCTTGCAGCTCGCCTGTTTTCTTGCCGTCCTGCACCGCTGGCTGCCACAGTCAAAACTTCACTCTGCTTTCCTTCCTGCAGCTTTCTCTTCCTTCTTTAACGCCTTTCTCTCGCTCTTCGCATATTTTGGGTTGCTGCTCTGGCGCGCTCCCCCTAGTTCCCTGGGGTCGGCGGATTAGCTGCACTCATGCATTGCAAAGTATGATGCATGTAATGATGTACAATGTACAGCTTTGGATTGTCGACCTGAATTTCATGGGTCCACCAAAACAGGCTGCGCAGGAAACAAGACCTGTCGGAGGTGAAGACAAAGCCGCAGACACCGAGGCCGGGCTGGGATCTCGAATGCGTTTGAAACCAATTCAAGATGTGGCTTATATTCAAACCATATAGTCTTGGATTGAATTGTCATGGATTTTCCCTTGAATTCTTTGCTTTCGATTCTTTGCTCTTGGGTGGAATTCCACGGGCAGTGTCACGAGAAAGGAGACCAAGCCGAAGCGTAAGAGACGCCTCCCAGGACGCCTTCCAGGCCAAAAGAAGGAGGCCGAAGGGCCGAGAGTAGACTCCTTCCTGGTCTGGTCAGATTCTGGGAAGAGATTTATAATTCAAGGGTGATTTTACGTATAGTAAACCATCCCATTTCTGAGCACCCAATTTTGACCACCCATGTTGTTGATCATTGGCATTCAGAGAAAACGTTAAATTCAGGCGTGCACAATCAGGAGAGATACTGCTATTGCATCTGGCAACTCACAAAAGGTGACAGTCCATGAACCTGAGCCACAAACGCAAGAAAGCGAGAATGAGGCTCAAACTGGCGAGTCATTTGATATCATTTGGTGTGATTTGCTTGTGCCGGTTTTGTTTGATTTCATCTTGCTTGATCTTGCATTGCCGCACTCAATTTTTCTTTCTCTCCGAGACTGCTTGTGATGCAAGTTTTATGTTGTAACCGTTTCAGGAACCAGCTGATTCCAGAGCAGTACCCGTGCAGGCTTGTATGCTTGTCACATTTTAATCACCGGACATTGTCACATTTTCGATGTCCTTCTATTTTTTGTATGCCAATTGATTCACACGGTTTCTGTGAGTTGTTGATGTGATCGGCACGAAGGTGCAAGCAGCCCCAGCGACCCCAGCGGTCCAACCTGTGCCACATGCACCGGCACCACCGGCACCGGTACCAGCACCGGCACCACCGGCACCGCCGCCACTGGCACCGGTGCCGCCCACCCGGTCACCGGCGCCAGTGGCGCAATCTGCGCCGTCGAAGCCATCCGCGGCATCCGCGGCATCTGCACCATCTGCACCAGTAGCACCCAGCCGGCCACCTGTGCAGCCACTGGTGCCAGCACCGGTGGAACCATCGCCACCACCGGTAGCGCCAAAGCCGAGCATGAGAGCACAAAAACCACAGCTTCCGAAGCCGTCACAGAAGCAGGTCCAGGACGGGGTTAATAAATGTTAATAAGCACAGCTATGGCAGTGAGAATCAGATTCAATCCTCACAGCATTCTGTTTGGCAGCCGAAGGCAGCCGTGATTGATTGGTCATGTTCATGCCCATTCTTCCTGGGTTGGAATGCTTTCTCCTTTACCTGTTGTTGGCTACACGGCTACATCTCATATTTGGGACCCATTCACTCAATCCAACTGCATCGTTCATCACGGATTTGGACGCAACTGTGACAGGAGGCTCCGGCTGTGCAATCATCAGTTACTTGGACTTCGCTGTCTTTTCTTTTTGGAGTACACGTGAAATTAGGATTGAGGTTGATGAGGTTGTACCATGTTGATCCATGTTGTACCCCAGTTACCCCCAGTTACCCCAAATACCATTCTCCACTAGCAGCAGCGGCCGCAAGTTACTTGAGGTGCCGCGACCCACGAAGCAGCAGAAGCTTCTTCAAGTGCCGCCGCGGCCAAAGCCAACGCACAAACAGGAGACATCTCGGGTTCTTCAAAACTGGGAGACCGGGATAGCCAACCATCAACCCCGAGATTTTGGGGTGCCCCATTTAGATCCAAGGGGTACCTTACTTTCAGACAATTCCATTTGTAGAGGCATATGTACAAGTTGGCTAACCCATCAAAATGCGCCGATATGACCAACCAACACATGTGAAGATTTCGACATCATGACCATAGAGAACATTAATGGCTGATAGAGACATTCGCCACCCACCTTACTTTGTGGGGCCACTGGCTGAAGTATGTTTTCCTCCACATACTCTTGGTTTTGCCCATCCGCAAGGAACAGCAAGAGGTTCAGATGCAAAAAGGGGCTCAAGCCTAAGTCATGGCTCATGAAATATCACCAATTTTGGGAGGCTCTGGACCGACTGAGATTGGCTGGAATTGTCTTGTTACTTTGCTTCCTTTCATGACAATCAGAAGCCAAACAGTTGTTTGCACTTTTTGGTGGTCACGACACAAATACATGGTCAGCCATCAAAAAACAAAGGTCACTGACTAAGTCGGAGATACTTATTCAATCTTATTCAGAATGATTGAGCTCTCCAATATTGCTGGAGCTGTCAAATCTCATGAGTTGGCACGGATCCCAGTGAACCAATCTGAGGACCAAGAGGATAAAGAAACCTCTCCTACCAAGAGCAAGCCTTTAGAGTCTTGCCAAAATATGTCGTGTGATTCTGCTATTAGTATAGGAACAGGACAACCAGTGCAACAACTCTAATCCGCTACCCTGACCATGACCTAATCAATCCAAGGATCAAGAGGAGGTGCCGCTCCAAACCACAGATCCTCCGCCTACACCCATCGACCCTCGCCAGCAGTGACTGGTGCAGCTTTGAACTTTAGACCTCGTTGCAAAATTATGATCAGTGCATCATGCTGCCAATGACCATCCCAAACTTTTGACGCACGCGCGTTTCACAACTTTGTGCTCACAGGAACTCAGCTCACAGGAATCGCCTGCAGCACAAGCCCCTGCAAGCCCAGAAATTAGCGATGGGGACTCTTGTCCGCAGTGGAATATGTTGGTCGAGGGAAGCTCTCAGGGATGCTTTGAGCCGGAAAACCTGTGAAGCTCATGACTTGCGCATACACTTATGTCTTATGCCATATTAATTATGCAATATATATATATATCAATATATCCAATGCAATATATATCAATATATCCAATGCAACATGTGCTGAACCAGGAAGCCTTTGCAAAAGCCATGCTTTGAGCAACAGAATCCAGAAAAGAAAATCTGCCAGCTCCAGGTGGAGCCACCTTCCCAACCTGCAGAACAAACCCAAGATCCACCGCCGCCGCCACCTGACGCTTGTTCGCATTAAATTGTGCCGTGATGAGGGTTTAACATGGTTTAACAGAACCTGTGGTCATGGCAGACCTTCTGGAACCCATTGAAACCCAAATTATCAGAAAAGTCTTGCCAATGTGGCTTGCTGTGTGGCTTGTATCTGATTTTTCCTATCTATACCAAAAAAGGAGATTCCGCAGACACTTCATTCCGTTCTCCTCAAACAAAGTAACGAACAAACTACTTTGCCTAGTGATATCAGTCGCTAACTTTGGTCATGTCACATATCCGTTGTCCTTGTTGCACCAGCATTTACTGCGCCGTGCCTAATCGATTGTACAGCTGTCGAGGCTTTCACTGCCAAGGAGCAGGAATTCTATGACTGGCTTAAAAGCTTCGGAGGCGAGCTCCACAGCTGGCGATATGGTTACAATGGTTTTAGCTTCTTAATACGTTACAGTACTGTTTTTAGGTTCGAGGCAGCAAAATTCCCTGCAAGTCCGATAGATTTCATGATGATCTAATCAGATTTTTGAGGTTGACCGGTTGCCGAGTCAAACAGCTTACCAGAGGTGCCAAACCTGGTATCATGCTTATGTACTTTGATGCGCTGGGCGCCCAGAGGGTATATAGACTTCCAGTGATTTTTGTGACTCGTATTTTCCGATGTTTTCCCCGGATCTCTGCAGTTGGAAACCTGTTTTTCGGGTGGACTTTTTGCATCTTTCATCAACCTGAGGTTGAAGGACCAGTTTGACTGCGACCTCGAGCAGCTAAAAAGCACCGTCATCATTGACAAGTTGGAAAAGGATGGCAGCGTGGTGGACACCATCGAGCCAAGCCTTTGGGCCAGCTGTGGCATCACCAAACCGCTGCACAAAATCATGCTGGCCAAGGCCATAAGAAGGTTGGCAGGGAAATGAGGGTGTGTGAAAAACTCGGGATTACACCACTTGAGGCACAGACGACATAGCTGACATAGCAATTGAGTAGGTGATAGCCTGATGTTGGTTGACTTGGTGGGTCAAAACATGTCAAAACTCAGATATTTACCACCACGCATTTTCTTGCTGGTAACTTGTAATTAAGTCATGACTCAAAGTTTGGTGTTCATTTTCAATTTATACTCATTTGGTGGGTCCCGAATTTGAGCCACACCCCATGTACCCACGTGACGTTTCACAATGGCTACTGATGGCGTGCCTATCAGTCCAAGATCAACCGTAGGATACCGTAGGCACTGCGCTGAGGCGTAGACAGTGGAGCGAAAAAGGACCTTGCCTGGATGTATGGTTTAGTTTGTCACTGATTACAACGACTACAATTACAACCAGCCAAGGTTATCCCAAAAGATCTTACAACCTCAACAAAAAATGAGATTTGCTCAAGCAATCTCTCGAACTTTCACTCAAGTTCTGGTAAGACAGTGAAAATCTCATGACCCCCAACACCTTCGAGTGGCAGCCATTCTTCTTATAGTGGTGACCATCCAATTTTGAGTCCTGAATGAATTGAATGGCATGCCCAAGTCACAGTTGGCCACGAAAGGGATCCAGGCCCCAAAATCCCACTAAGGCAAGAAACAAGTGGCCGACCTCCGAGCCACAGTCTAAACTGGCCTGTTGATCCGGTTCAAGTGAGATTCAAAATAAAGCATTTCCGACACTCAAATGACATGTTCAACAATATTCAACAAATTTTCAATTGCAATACGTATATTCAACACATCATGGGATCCAAGATGATCCAGGTGACGCCCAGTGACTGTCACCATGGCCAGGTGACGGCTGAAATTCAACAGCAGCTCCCGCAGGCGATCTGATGATATGCCGGGGGGATGAACATCCAGAAACAACAGTTTTTTGGTGTGAACAGACTGAACAGAAGGATAGAAACAGGGTTTAATCATGTTTAATCATTGATCCTTTAAAAACAGTTTATGAGTCAAACTGGGATCCAACAACTTTTTAAAGCTCATTTTTGTGAGGGAATCTTGGAATGGATAAATGTCGCATGGATCTGTTGAACTTGTGTGGCATTTGCTACAGGTCCTGCACGAGGTCATGCAAAGCAAGGTGCGGGAAGGGAAACATGGCTGGACATAAGTGATGCTGAAGAAAGGCTGAAGAAAGTAGATGCTTCAGATTGCTTCAGATTGCTTGAGTGTAAAGATGCGGAAACTCATATTCTCTTTGTGGTTCTTTGACGAGATCTTGATGAATCCTATCAGATTGCTCCATTGCACACACCATTTCGGAGTGAAGCTATCCTTTGCAGTTCATTTAATGTGGCCCATTTCTACACCTTTGACTTGCAGAGTGGGCAATCTGAATTTGTGTGATTAGACCTTTGCTTGTCCTGGAAACCGTCCAAAGGTTGCAAGGGCAGGGCTCCAAGAATTCATGAAAGCCTCAAGATCACGGCTGGGTCTTCATCCATTTCCCATCCATTTCCCATCCATTTCCACTTGAGTCTATTGCTCGAGGCTACAAACCCCACAAAGATTGATGGACCAATGGTCCACATGACCAGCCTGTGGGTTCTATGTTTCAAAAGCTACAGGTCAATATGATTCAAATGACTATGACAATGATCATCTATCAACGTTCATCATTCGTTTGAATGACAATCAGATAATCCATTCATCCACCTGATCATATTTCGATTCATCAATATATATATATATTATATAATATATATATATTATAATATAATATATATAATATGTATAATATGTATATTTATAATTTGAATCATCACCGTTCATGGTATCCATCTGCGCAGTTGATCCCTCCAGGCCTCGGAGCTGCGGAAGTTGATGGATGCCGGAGCACAGGCCAGGGAGATGAGAAGCAGAAAACATGGGATGATGATCTTGATATATCTTGATGGTTGTGGGATGGGTGGGATCCACTGGGTATGTGACATCTGTGGGAAAAATGGGGCAATTTTCAAGTTCCTGCGCAGGAATGGAAGGAAAAGTACAGCATTGAGTGCGAACGCAGACGGAAGTTGCTTGTCAAGAATGGTAGCTGCCAAGCTGTTGTGCCGCTGCTTGAAGTTTCAAGGGGTTCTTATGGTCTTATTCAACTTTTTGATCTGTTGCAGGTAGTGTTCCAAAGAAGGGGTCCGTAAGCAGACAACAAGACACGTTTTTGCAGTACCACTTCAAATTTGTAGAGACCTGCAGCCCAACAGTTTGCAATTCCCGGCCCCAGGTTGCACAATTTGGTGCAGGAATTGAAAGGCGGACCTTTGCGCATGTGCGAAATCTGGTAAATCAGCACAATGAGCTCCAAAACTTGGAATATCATGGATACCTCAAGGTCCTCTTTCGTGCTGCGCCTATTGGGGGTCCACCAGGCAACATCCGCGTCTACTGTCGCGTTCGGCCCATGACTGACGCCGAGTACCGGGACCCGGTCTGGAACACTAACATGGCAAGACAACGCGATGCAACCATAGTATCGCTATGTATCGCTTATATCTCACTGCAAGGAGTTTTTCTGTCATGTTGTATTCTCATATTTGCTGCGTAAACGCCTTTTGCTGTTGCTAAAATGCTTAAATCCATTCTTTTTGCTTGCTAAATGGCGTATTTTCGTTGCTTAAATACATGTCTTTATCCCCCCGGACACACTACCTGCACCTCCCAGGGCAGCGAATGGCTGCTGTATCTCATTTCCAGCTCCGGACGAGGCCAAGAGCCAAGATTGAAGACTTGGCAGCTGATTTGATGAAAATTATGAAATTATGCAATATGGTCCATATGGTTGTGTGAATTTACACCTCCAATCATCCCCAATCTGGGTTGAACCTGACGATGAATCCAGACTGGATGGATGATAATGGCCCTTGCAACTCAAGATTGCGTCGATAGCAACTCCAGTGGTTGGACGATTGCGCTTCTCGCTGCTGTCAGATTAAGATCAACAATCCGGAGCTGGGGGTCACCAAGTGGATGCCCTAGCCACCGTCAGACTGGGGGAGATGGTTTAAATTCAAACCCCAACAGGCAAAAACCCATGAAACCTGATCAGAATATGTCATATGTCATATGGTTGTAGTTTCTAGAATTTTATGATTTTTGGCCATGGTTAAGGTAGTTCACGTCGCTTTAACTTATTTTTAAACGCATATTTCTACTGGGGGCAGATCCTGATGGCAGCGCCCATATCGCAGTCCTTCACTGCAAAAACAGGGTTTTGTTGCCCCAATAGTCGAGAAGATATGCAAATTCTATCAGGGTGTCTCTAAATTATCATAAATTCATTATCATGATGTATACACATCATGCAATACTAGAAGATCTAGAAGTGAAATGCAAGGTCGTGGCAGTTCAATGAGATCTATCGGCAGAATTCGAAGCAGGACTGTTGGCTTTGAGCTGTACAGCTTCCCCAAATTTCAAGCTTCGTAAACTGGAGGAATTCACCCAAGATAATCAACTCACATGATCTCAAACGGCAACTGTTCAATGATGTTCAATGTTCAACTGGATTCTATAATACCCTCCAATAGTTGAACATATTTAGATGTGGAACAGCCAGCATTTGTAGATCATTTTCCTATATTTATTTTCCTTGGGTTTAACCATGGGATTTGCCACATCTATGTTAGTTTGCTGGCGCGTCGAGAACGTTTCCACTGATTCCACCAGGAAGACCTGTTCAGCGGCATTCGGGACCTGGTGGTGTCAATGCTGGACGGTGCGGGAGCTTTCGACGCTTTGATGGGAAGTGAAACCATCGCTGTATCCTCAGTGAAACCATCTTTGGGAAATATCATTTCTGGAAAAAATATGTCTGTTTATGTTTAGATCTGAGACGTTGCCAAATTTATATCACTTGAGAATAGGGAAGAAAAGACTCTTTGAAACCCGTGGAGAGTAGTGGCCTAGTGTCACGGTCAAATATATCCGTTCTTCGTTCAATCACAAACACCACCACACCACTTCCGAGGTTTGCCATCACTACACACATGCACGCCAGGCTACAACGTATGCATGTTTGCCTATGGCCAGACTGGTTCTGGAAAGACTTTCTCCATGCAAGGTTCAGCGACCGGCTCTCAGAACCGGTGAACTGGTTGCTGGACATCTTTTGTTCGGACGGAGGACCTGCACTGAAGTCTTTGAGAATTGTCCACACCAGGTTTGACACAAGATGAATACCATTGAATACCCATCAACTCATATCGCGAGTGAGCGAGTGAAGGACATACAACATGTTGGATCACCGTGGTCCCATGGTCAGTTCAACATGGTGCCGAGGGACAATCCTGGTGTCTACACCCGGACTTTCAATGAGCTCTTCAAGGTTGCGAAAGAACGCTCGGCATGGAAGATCGAATTGAAAGGTGTCCTGCCCTCGAGATCAGTGGACGTTACGTCAGTTATACATCTGATTACATCCCACCTGTGACGTTCATTGACACAGACTGGATCGAAGCAGCCCTAGCCCCCAAGGCATGTGTGGAGATCTACAATGAGGTAACCAATGGGTGCTTGGGCGCGGTGCAAATTTGTGATTCTCGAAACTTGGGTAACCATGGGTAACCCAACTCATGGCAAAACGAGTAGAAACTATGGCTGTTTGGGAGGGCCACTGCATTTCAATGGATTTCAAGATGTATACTGTATACTGTACCCTGAAGTTTAAGATTTCACAAGGTCCTTTGAAAACAGATGCCTGTGGCAGGAAATCCGCGATCTTTTGTTGGGGCCAAATGACAAGAAGCAGAAGCTGCAGGTCCATAGTCAGTCAGAGCTGCACTTTTTAGTGAGATAGTTGTTACAACTTGCCTGAACATAGCTATAGTTCATGGAAGCTCCACACTTAAGTTGGAACAGTTAGAATGGTTGGACCATGTTGGACCACATGGGGACTGCTTGACCTGGCGTTCTATCAATCTCTGGGACATTTGTTGGCAGTCATTTGAGATCGATCTTCAAGCATCGCAGCCACTTCTCTGAGTGTTTCAGGTCCGTCAGGGGAAGGAGGGCAACCATGTTCCTGGCCTTACCCTACAGATCGCTCCTCAGTCGTTCCAGTCGTTCCTCCTGTCCTGGAGCCGTTGAGACTGGATGAGGACGGCACATCTGAGGCCAGTGAACACCGTTGCGGAAGTGGAGCAACTTCTCAACACGGCTCAAGCGTCGGGGGTCCTTGGTGACATGCAGGCTTGAAGTTGTATCAACGTCATGTCTTTAAATTTTTACATCTTTTCATACTATTTCATAACAGTACAGTACTAAGATGTACTAAGCTATTTTTGATACGGGAATGATTTAGTGACATGTTGTGGAGAAATGTGCTCTGAAGGTCATTCTTTCTCTCGGTAATCCGACAGTCATCCACTTTTGATCAGCAGTTGCATATGGCATCAAAACGAACGGTGACTTTGAAGGAACCGAACGGTCGCATCAACTGACATGAACCTGCATTCTTCGCGGTCCCATTTGGCAGCCTTGAGCTTACGCTGGGAACATGGAGAATTATGGAGAGTTTTGATGATATTTGCATGCTCAAATATGATCAAATATGTAAGCTGCAAGGTCAGTGTGGCAACCACTAATAACCACTCCCATCCAGTAAGACCCCTTATCAACACTTCTCAACTTCGGTAGATACCAAGTTTGCATCCCATGGCACGACATGGCACTGGTTCTGCTGAGGTTCAGATTTTGGGCACGATGACAAATCCCGAGGGGAAGCAGTTCTCCTCAGCCATCACGCTGGTGTCAACCTTGGATCGGCGGGCAAGATGCCTGGATAGATCCACAAGCATCAAACCATAAAGGCAGGACTTTCCCAGCTGATGTTTACTCATGTTTACTCATTCCCCGATCATATCGATTTTTTTACAATTAGCTTTCGCATCTGAATGGTGAATCATGCAATGCATTCCATGGCCGAGGTGGATCTGGCGGGCTCCGAACGCTTGGCCAAGTCGGGGGTGTCGGGTGATCGGCAAAAGGAGGCGCCGCTTTCGCGTTGCGACAGCATACGGCAAGCGGGGCGACCAGGGGGTAGCCAACTCCAGATTCTCAATTGTACCAGCATTTGCACAAACATGGCCCAAATCATTTGCGATGTAGCTAGCTATGAGGGAAAGAATTTTCTGTTGAAACATGGAAAACCTTCGTGATGCCACTGGGTCAGTGTTTTTTTTTGCATTTGCAGGCGATCAAGATCAATCAATCCTTGAGCGCACTCGGCGATGTCATTGCTGCAAGGGCTCGGGAACCAAGCACCGGAACCGATGTCGGGTGGGGCTCCCATTCAACTGGTCAGCTCTTGACCATCCTGGATCCCAAGGATTTTAGGATCCCAAAAAAGACCATGACCAGTCTGAGCAGATACCCAAAGGCCCCAAATCCTAGTGGTGGATCGCCTACTGAGTGCAGCTTGGAGCCAAGGCGCAGAAGAATGCGCACACACCATACAGGAACTCAGTGCTGACTCACTTCCTGCAGGTGCGGCTGTGGGCTGATGTGTCAAAGCAGATATTCTTCCAACTTGGAAAGCAAGTCATTATATATAACATTAATATAAATATGCAATTATATATATTCCTACATCCCAACCTAATCTATTTAAAGTTAAATGCTTCGATATTCACCTGGACTTTGAACCACACCCATACATTTTTTGAAAACCATTCGGACATTTCAAGCGTGCCTCGATTCCTCCATGGCACAGGTCATCCCAACATGACCCATTCTGTTTGGCAGGGGTTTTGATCCAGAGTACCCTCTGGTAATTTAACATAGCTATGGAAAATCACCATGTTTCATGGGAAAATCCACTATTTCTATGGCCATTTTCAATAGCTATGTTAAATTACCAGAGGGTACCCTCTGAATTGTTGTTTTGAAAGATATGCCTTCTACAGCCCGCACATGGACTACTGGCTACGGGCATTTCCATGCGACCCGGAGTGGGTTTGAGGCAGTATTTGCAAGACACACTTCAAAAAATGGCAACAAACACAGCTGGGATAGCTGGGTGTCTAACAACCCATGGTAAACACATCTAAAAAACCCATAGATTTCCCTTGCCCAAGGATTCCTTGGGCGGCGATTCAAAGACCTTGATGCTGCTCCAGATCAATCCCTGTGCCAGTCATGTGGAGGACATCTGGCCGCGGAGAAAACGGGGAATCCCAGCATGTTGTTTATTTTAATTTAAGATTCAATTTAATTTAATTAATGGGTTTTCCATTGGGTTTTGGAAAATTTTGGATTTTCCATTGGGTGTGTCGGGTTTTCCGTTGAATTCGGATTCTGAATGTTCTCAGATTTTTCCATTAGATCTTTGGTCTTATGTTGGTTTTGCATGGACTCTCGGATTTCCGTTGGCTGTTGCTGGCTTCTCCCAGTGTGGAGGGCCGTGGTTGAGAGGGAATTCCCTTGGGACACACATGGCATGTGCAGGCAAGTGCACCATTCTGTAGGAGTCCATGTGTTCATTGACCTTTGGTGCTCGCGTCAATGCGGTTGAGATGAAGAAGTCTTGACAGGTGTCGGCAAAGTCGTGGTGAATTCTTCTGAATATACTGAGTTTTTATGGGTAGCTCCTTCAAATTGTTAATTTGGTTGGCTGATGATATTTTTAAAAGAGATTTACTCTTCCATCCCCACTACCTATTAATTGACTGAACTGGAGGTTTTCATTTCTCCCGGGTTGATTGTTTCGCGTCTACGCTGAGCAAACCTTCCCCAATGCACAAGTGGATGTTTATATAATCGTATATATATATATGTATATATGTATACATATAAATATGGGTTGACACTACCGAAGGTGCCTGGTTGGATGAACGAGGGCTGTCATTTTTGATGAAGATTGGCTTGATAGAATAGTAATGAACGGAAACTTACCGTTCTATCCTTTCAGAGTTCTCCTATCTATTTCTGATTGCTTTGCTTCGCTTCATGGCTGTCTTCCTGCTGACAGGTAGGAGCGCCCATAGATCTTTTGGCAGCAATTCATCGTGATGACTTTCTGCTGACAACTTTGGATCGGAATGCGATCGAAAAGAGGATTGCCCATTGCGAGCGAAACCGCCTGGATTTGTTTGGCACATTGTCTCAAAATTGGGTTGGACTTCAGCCTGTTTAACGCAGCTGACTGTTGTCATGTCCACTGTCCTGACATGAGATGCCTCCAACCGCAGACACCTAATCCTCAGGTGTGAAGCATGTTCAAAGAAATACAAATTATTCAAAAAAAACACATGCATTTCGTCAGACCACATTGATGATTGATCATGTAATTTCTACTTTTTACTTCTTTGTTTTATCCAGCCACTTGGCGCTTGACCAATCCGGTGCATGGCCTTGTAAAGGCCTCCGGCTTCGCAAAGGCTAGGTCGTAACAAATTGTCGTCAACGGATGCCTTGAAGAACGGCTGATGATTTTATAGTGCTATTTTATTCTTATGTATACTAGTAATATCAATGATCAATCACCTTTAACTCCTTATACATCTTTATAATGTATTGTTCATGATGTTCATGTTTGTTCGCTTCGATTCAGGCTGATGATTCCCGCCATCCCAGAGGGTGCAACAGTCCTCACGGAGAAGGAAGCGGCGGAGGCAACGGCGGTAGGAGCCACTAGATCCACTTGGAGCTCCAGGATTTTGATTGAAACATCTAAAAATGTCTTAAAAGCGGAAGATACCCTCTGGTAAACTAACATAACTATGGAAAATCACCATTTTTAATAGGTAAATCAACTATAAATGGGCCATTTTCAATAGCTATGTTAAATTACCAGAGGGTATATTCAAATGAACTGATTTTACTGTACCGGCCGGGTGATGGTTTCTTATTTTTTCACAACTTTTCTGGGTTGTCATGCCCAACCATGGATTTTCCATGCCGAACAGGCGCTGAAGAAGTTCGTGAGGAAAAATCGGCGTCCTACTCAGTGGTCATAGTCTTCTGAGCCAAATTTGTGATTTGAGAGACCCAACTGAACCAAGAACCCACCACAACGAAACTGGCGCAGCTAACAACCATAGGACCCAAGCAGTTGAGCAAATTGCTTGAGGTTGCTCCCCGTCAAATCAGTCAGCCATTGGGTTCTTGAAAAAGTGTGGACCAACCCAGGAACTGAGCGTCAACATGTTGGACCATCTTGGACCATGGACCATGTTTCAACTGCCGAGGAACCCCGACAGATCAAAGTTTAAGAGTGTGCCGACCCCGATGCTTACTCCAGCGGCCTGGCTATGGTGACAGCTACAGCTACACACATGTCAGCCAAATGTGATGATTCAGCATCAATTATTGTGATTCGGTTGAAACATGTTGGATGTAGCGGGGAATTAGCTGGATGTAGCTTTTCAGCTGATGGGTTTGATGAAGAGTTGAAGTGTTTCGGGCTTCTGCACCATGGCATACTATGGCCATTTTCCCAGGTTGAGGCTGAAGGTGACAAGCGCGAAGAGGGCACAGAGTCCCTACCTGTGTCTTCTATATCTTTGACCCTTCCGGGTACAGCTCAAGGTCCGGTGCAGCGCTTGGTGCTTTAAGGGTCCTTAGGGGAAACCAACTCGACTTCTTAGGTTCAGTTGGGTTTGCTGATTTTGAGATGTTTGAGCTATTTAGAGATAGTTTAGAGATAGTTTAGAGATAGTTTGCTGCATTTTGGAGATGGGTCAACATTATCTACAAAATTGCTGCCCAGCCCGATGGTTTAAGACCAGGACATGTCCACGAAAAGTGGGTCCACTGGTACCCCAATTTGGTGGGTTCGAACCTCAACCGTGACCGCAGGTTTGGATGTAGAGGACAAGGTGGGTGATGACTCCGTGGATCATTTTGAAGCTCCAAACACTGAAGTGCAATCAACAGAGGTACCACCTTTGGCAGTGTCAAATCGCAGTTCAAACCCCCTGAAAAAGGCAATCCGATTTTTGATTGCCATGCTTTTGCCATGATATTGCTGGCCATGATACTTTGATGGCTCTCCAGAGCGAGCTCTGAAGTCAGGCAGTATTGAAACTGACGGAGAAGATTGCGAAGTTTGACATTTTCGACACCATCGACGAGGACCCCTCCGCTTTCAAGAATGCAGAACGCCCGGGCGCCTCATAGGTCGAAATGTCACACTGGATTTTGTGGGGTGAAGTCTGAGATGTTTAAATATTCCCAAAAACACAAATACAATACTGAATTCTGCGGGCACACCTGCCTAGGCAGCGAATTCCCTCAAATTGAAGACGAACTGGTTTCTTGACTTCTTGCTATTGTTGCTTTTAGTGTTGATTCAAAAAATGAGCACGCGATGGTAAAACTGATTCAACTGGTGTATTCTAGGCCCAAGAAGAATCTTGATTCACGAGTTGCAAGTTCTGGATACATATATAGACCACATACAAAAACATACAAAAAAATATACCAATACACAAAATCCTGCATGATCATCATGATTCAGCTGCTTTTTCCCTTCTTTCCATGGTCACTTCACCGTGCCTTCACCGTGCCTTCGCTGTGCCTTCGCATCCCACGAAGGAGCGCATCAAAGAGTTTGAAGCCGCTGCTGAGCGCAGTAAAGACCTCAGCAACTATGTCAACCGATACCCATGATGGCATGGAATAGGGACCCCTAAGTGTAACCCATGCAACTTGATCATGGCACACCTGAATTTCTTGAATCTTTCTCAAACATTGGAGAAAAAACATGAGAATCATTGAACATCCCCAGACATTCTAGAGTTCTTCAATTCCATGCCAGGTGTAGCTCAGTCCAACTACAAGGAGCACAAGGCCAAGAGCAAGAAGGCCCGGATGGAATGAAGGGAATGGAGGGAGCACCAAAACTTATCAAGGATGATTATACTTTGATTTTTCTGAGTATGGAACCCGTCATCTTCCAAAGGTTTTCTTGTTGGAAAATGTCAGGCTCACCCCACAGGGCCATGCCAGTGCATGCTGCTTGATACGGGTATGTCTGAAAATGGGGTATACACCAAAAAGCCTCAATTTATTAATTATTTATATTGATTTGTGGTCATTTGATCAACTAACAGTTCCATTTTTGTATATTTTTATGGCATCCCCCCATTTGTCACACCCATCCTGATGCAACTATCTGCTTTCCAGATCGACCCCAACAAGTTCGCTTCGGTGTCAGTGGTGCAGCGCAGGGAGGATGGACACAGCGTCATACCGACACACTTGGAAGAATCGCGGACATCTTAGGTGTTGTGAAACTCTTGCAGACCCAAAAGTGGGTACTAAATCATCTAGTTAAATGTATACAGATGCTTTGACATGCATATATATAGTTAACTTATAACTATGATATAAGTTATATAAGTATTTTTTTCAAAGAAACGGGAAATAAATCGATGTTCTGAACCTTCTTGTGGCCAGGTAATGACCTGATGTCCGCAGAGCCCTTCTGTACAGAGCGCCTTTTATCGATGGAGATTTCAAACTCGCCAAGGGCCCAGCCGATGCCTGGGGTGATCGCTGTCTGAAAATCCAGGGAAACCGAGGGAAACCCTCCCTAAAATCACTTGGTCTATCATTTTCCACTTCAAAATGGCTGCAACTGGGGGTTCGGCTCCTCATCTTCAGACAGATCCATTGGAATGTTGTGATGTTTAAATTCTTTGGGCCAACAGGCCCATAGGATCCCATAGGCGATGTAGAAAAATGTCCCGCGTCAGAACGACTTACAGATTTGGCTCGACAGAGTCAGAGTTTCACGCTGCGGCTGCTCTGGGCAGTTGCTAGAGGTCCTAGTTAACAGATCATACTGCCAAGCAGAGAAGTTTAAAATGGAGCGGTTGCATTTGGCAAGCGCTAGGTGTTTATTAGTCTATCCCTTCCCCATCTTCCCCAGTGTAACAACCCCACTGGAAGCTGAGTTTAGTGTTTTGGATAATCGTTTTGGGTCATGTACAGGTCAATAGGGGGTTCACTGTCAGGGGAAAGGGATTGATTGGTCATGAAGCTCCAAATCTATGACTCAGCAGAATCCACTACTCAAACACATGTTTATCGTCCTAGGAAATGACATCGTGCCAGCCAGTGAATCAGCCACAATGCTTTCACTGAAGCTGCTTTCCTGTGGGCTGCAGCACGGGCTACAGCTCACTCCGTGGCTCATTCCGTGGTGAAAACTCTGCCACAAGAAAGTGCCGGGCGCAAAGCCAAACACAGCTTGTCCTTGTCAGACTTGTCAGGTGGCTTCCCCCAGAATCATCAGAATCTTCGATCCACCGTGATCAACCAGAGGCAAAGTGGATTCCATGATGGATTTTGGGGCACCGAGACCCATCACAGTATGTTGTGAGACCAAAAGGCGACCCGTCCAAAATGGCATCCAAGGCGTTCGCCGCATCCATGGGTCCCTGAAATCTCACAGGACGTGTCTGGCAAGCGACCCTGACCCTCCTGGGTGGTTGGAAATGCAGGAAGTTTTCTATGGCTCTGGGAAGAGGGGATCCAAAAAAAATATGGCCAATTGAAATGGGAAAATGCTGGGTACCCATATGGTCTGTCCCTGTGTATCTGAAGAACTGGATCCTCAGCCGGTCAATCCTTGGAAGGGGCGCCAGAACATGCTGGAAGAAACCAGGCAGTATTTCATTGACCAGCGTTGGAGCGTGTTCTTTTCAAAGATCTGTCGACCCCTTCATTGAGTCACTGTGAAAGCGCCTGTTTCAACAAAATCTGCCAAGAATTCCAATTGATAGCCAACCTAAATGTACCTATATACTGTAAATGTTGCTAAACAGTGATCTGGATCACAGGATCTAGGGCTTCAATGGGCTTCAGGATTTAGTTTTTGAATGTCTGTGGATGTTCAGGACCTATGATTTCTCACCTCCTTGCAGCCGTCTTCTTTGTGCTGGAGACTTAGTCTTGACTTCAGCTGAAGTGAGCCAGTTGTGGGATTGAGCAGGTGGCTAATCCCAACCCTTGGCGCGGATCTCAATGGCTTTCTGAGCCTCAACTGGCTCAACAGTCAATTCAACTGATCAGACTGATTATATCAATCAGCTGTAAGTTAATCAGAGGACAAATCACAATTGCCATCTTTTGGCACTTGTTGGAAGCATTTCGCATTGCAAAAAACATCATTCAAAACTGATAGGTGCCGAAGGCATAGCAGTTCCAGCCTGTGAATTCTCGGGCAGAGAGCAACGCTTTGGTGGGGCACCAAGGGGGCAGTTGGCGTAGAGGTGGTTCGGTGCTTCAGAGCAGAACATGTTTGGGCGAGGTCCTGTGAGGTGAAAGGATCAAGGTCCAGGGATTACAAGGGTGAAGCGACTCATAGCTATCTTGAAACACGTTCCCTAAGGTTCCTTGGTAACATCTCGCAACACTGAATTGGATGGCCTAGGGGATGACTCGCCAGTCTTGCTTGTAAGCTTCATGCTTCTCAGAGCTGTTTGAGCCTTGGAACGCCACTGATGAGAGGGCACAGGCTCCATGGAAGAGATCCAGATTCTGTGACCAACACCAGCTTTTCTATGATGCTACAAAGTAACGTATTTTTTGACAAGTGTGGAATCCATATATCCGACACCAGATCCAGGTGGACAAGCTTCAAACAGTTTCGGAAAAAACACCGACCACAATTCAAAAAATAGTATTTTTTGATTAGTTTTATTTGAATTGTTTCAGCACTTCGTCAATGAATCAGATGACTCTACATAATCCGTTCAATTCCTAGGCAGTAGCCCTCCGGAGCCTGTGGGAAGGATCTGAGACCATCATGTGGTCGGCGCACCAAGAAACGTTTTCAAGGGGGGTTTATCCTTGGGGGGACGGGTCGACCCTGAAAGGACATGAAATGACTACATGGCATGTTTGGAGGGTATAATATGGATGATTTATATAGTTGTTTTTTTGTTTTGTTTTTATACATGTTGGGAAATGTCTGACAAACATGGACAGAACATTGAAGAAGATTGGGTATAGAAGATTGACCAGCTAATTGGCCGCCTGTTGATGCCTGTTGTGGGTCCCATGCCCTGGAAACACTGCCGAGGCAAGGCATTGCTTTCGCGTGCTTCAGCCGCTGTATCGTCAAGGTGTCACCCGCAGGGATCTCAGAGCCAGCAACAGCAGATGGCATAACATCATATGGGGATGGGTCAAAACCCTATCCCCCTGGTGAACATCAAAATAGCTGGTAAATGGATGTTCATCCCCCTAAAAATGGTATGTATAGGTATTGATCCATACCCATATAACATCCAAATCTTAGAAAATGGGTCAACTGAGTCAATTCGTATAGCAGATTAGGCTCTGAAATTGTGGTATACCGCAAAAACGCTTAAAATGCTTATTGAATGAGAACATGATAAACCATATAATCTGGGGGCAAAAGCCATTTGGGTCTTGGGATCAGGGTCACACTGGCACAATCTGACACATCATCCTTGGCTCTAAGGATTCAGGAGATGCAGCCTCCCTGCTACTATCAGGCTCACAGTATCTACGCATGACAGGTAAGAATCAGCATAATTGATCCATTCCATTCCATTCCATCATCATATTTCGTGATCCCATGTCCCTACTAAACACACCCTGAGAAACCAAGTTGATTTTGGGGGCTTTTCACATATTCCCAGGGGGTCCCACCTCGTGGCCCACCACGTTGTCCTGAGGGCTCAGGGAGTTCCTACACGTCTACGGCTTGCGGATGGTGTTGAGGCCGTGATCGTTGATTGTTTGGTTTTTCTGGATCTTCCGCGATTTAATTATTGAATAGCATAATACTACATTATATAATATAATAATGTATATACACGTATATATATATATATATTATATAATAGTACAACATAGTATATAATATATAGTCGTCTATATGTAATATATAGTCATAATATATATATACACCTATACTTTCTAAGTGCGAGAATAATTGAATAGATAAGCAATGATCAACATGGATTTGTATAATAATTCACCAGTCGTTTCCCAGTTGTGCACCAGCCAGGAAGCTGTCGCCCAGCTGCTCCTGAGATAGCTGAACTTCAGCGCTTAAGACTTGGTTCTTTGAGAATGGATGGTACCCTCATTGTCAATGGATAATCCCTTGATAATCCATTGTTAATCCATGATACTGATAATCTTTCCATGATTCATCGTGAAGACAGTGGATGAATTAATTATCATGGATTATTGTTTTTTCTTATTTAAGATAGCAATGTGTTGGGGTGCACCTTTTTGGGTCAAAGCTGGTGTGACAATGTGTGACAGATCAGGCTAGCCCTGTAGAGCTTGAAGTGGCTCCTCAAGTATCACCGCAGCTTGTGAACAAGCAACACTTCGCCTGAGATGAACTCAGTCGGAGCCATTGATGACATGGGAATGTCTGAAAGAAAAGGATACCACTAAAAAAATGTGTATAGCAAATAAGTGATGAGAGTTGATGAGATATGTTACTATTTTACCACTTGGCCATAAACCATAGGGCTTCCGTTTCTTGACTGACATGCCCATAACCTGCCTGCGTTTCAGCGCCCTTGCAGAAAAGCTCTTAAATGATACAAGAATTTCTAGAAAGCTTCTGTGATTTCAAACATCCCTTCATCAGGCTTCCGTCAACACCACTCAATCACTTGCCCACTGGATCCCACTGGACCTTATGGATGTTTGCAGCTTAGGTCCAAGGCCCCCAACCTTTCAGGTAGGATCCCCCCAACGTGGGCCCGATCTGATGGAGGAGTGTCTCGTGGGATGTTTCCGTTGGTTACATGCCATGAATCGCACCATGTCCGCTCCCGTCCCGAAGTTTCCGCGGATAGCACGGAGGCAAGGATATGAGTTGTGTGGGACACCCAAGATAACCTACTCGGCCAAGATCAAAGAAGACAAGGAAGATACGGCCTGGACACCCAAACATCATGTCATGGAGCCCAAAGATCCCAAAACAAAGCGATTTGAGAAGGTTTCACAGCATTTGCGAGAGTTCATGAGTCGGACACAGCTGTTGCCAGCTGATCTCACCTTTGACAAGACCTACAAGATCCTCTCACAGCTGGAGGTTGTGGCAGAGGCGAAGATGGCGACCGAGAAAAAAAGGGTCGCGGACTCCACGGACTCCACCGACGACGAGGCCAGCGAAGCTGGAAACTCTGGAAACTGGGAAAGTCCCATCTCCTCTGCGGAAAGTCCTCCATCCACAGCCGCCACAGCCGAACCACAAAAAATCGCCCAAGTTTCCGACTGCGACAAAGTTCTCGCGGTGCATCGCTTTATGCTGAAAGAGGTACGGAAGTTTGTGGAAGAATTTAAGTCAGCACCTGGTGTCTTCTATGATTTTGACACAGCCAGGCTGTGCACAGGAGTTGCAACACTTGTGAAACTGGAAGACAAATTTCAATTGACCAAGGCGGATTTGGACGCTTTGATGGCACAACATCAAGAGAAGCTCAGGAAAACATCTGACTTCCGTCATGTGACTGATGAAATCAATGAGCTTTTAACTGAATTCGATGAGCCATAGTCTGGACAATGCTCTACCCACTGTACAGTTCCCCTGACATAGCCAGGAACGTTTTGGAACCCATTGGAACCCAGAAAAGATCAGGAGTTGATACAGTTTGGCCAAGTTTGAAGCTTGTGGATTGGGCATTGCCACGAAAAGCCAGATTCGATGTTCCATTGAAATCTAAACATGTGTTTTTCTTCTCCTCAGCTTGAGCTTCTCAAAATTGGAGAATGATCTGGATCCAATGCAGATGCGAAACAGAAGAATCATCTGTGCTGGTTGACTTATCTTGAGTCATGAACAATCTACTTGTATCAAGGAAAAAACATCAGCAAGGCTTTAAGCTCTCTGTAGCAGCTCATTGTCAGCCACTGAAGCAGTCCAGTACTGCAGGGTGCCAAGCTACCAGGACCGGTCCCTTGGGCCACCAGATGGCAGCTTTCGTTCAGAGCTATGGCTTGCAGCTGTTGGACCGGAGCGGCAAAGACTTTGATGCGCCAAGAGCTCAGATCGCCATCGGATGTTCGGGACTTGTTTGAATTGAAGGTCATGGTGGTATATGATGTATATATATATGTATATATTGTGAGTGACCCCACAATTGGTAGCGATATCTGCAGTGATGCTTCTGTTGTTTCACCTGAAGGCTGCCGCGCCCACTGGATTCCTTTTGCACCCCAAGCTTTGCCAAAGTCAGACGGATGTTCCACGTCCTACCAAGAAAAGTCGTCGGCCACGACACGCTTATGGCTCAGTCCAAAAGCCCACCCTGCTCCACCACGGCTGACCACAGCCAAAAGGACTGCACATGGAATGGTTGGTACCAGCTTGTGAACCCTTGGAGACTATGGGATTTAAGTGAAGCTGAGAAAACAATTGAACATTCACACTCCCAAAACTTCAATATCTAGTTCTTTTGTTCAAGAGAATTTTGTTGGAGCCACTGGACTCGACTGCGGGAATTTGCCCTTTCACGCAGGATCTCTTGTTCGTCATTCAGACGATACGTTCCCTGGGATAGCGTGTGTCTCAGGAAGGCGGTGTTCATCACTTTCGTTAATGCGTCAGCAACTTGTGCACCTGTGTGTACCCAACGTACTGAAACTCCTTCACTTAACAGGTCTTTCATTGCCCGACATTGTAGTTGAGTGCGATACTCTTGGCAATTTGGAGGTGCTGTGCGTGTAATGATGTCGTACAGGGATTTGCAATCAGTAATGGCTAGATCAGGTGGTTCCTTGATTGTTGGAGCTGTGTACGTTGGTGGAAGTTCATTGAGTGTTTCTTTGGCTCGCTTCCATTGGATTTGAGGATTTTGAATCCAACCCCAAAACAGTCTAATCCATGATAGCTGGTCAAGAGTAGAATTCATTGACATAGTCTCCGCGGAAAGGGTACTTACCACGACCTTTTGGATCTTTTTGCAGCACCAGCTGATCGGGCTCACTGGGCATTGAAAATTCTTGACTATATCGGCATGTGTTGCCATGATCATCATGCCTGTGTGTGAATCCGGTTGTTTTGCTGATGAAAATGAGGCATCTGAGAATGCAATAAAACGTAGTTGATCAAATGGAATGGATTGGATTTTGATTGTCGTGTCTTTATGTCTCTTTGCTTCATGAAGTATTTTATTGGCTTCGGTGAGTGTTGAAATTCTTGCTGAATTGATGGCACTCTGCAAATGGCTCAATCTGCTTGCAAGATCCGGACGGGTGTTCACCGCGGCATACTGCAGGGAACCGATGATGGCTCGGAGGCTGAGTTTCTCGGCTTCCGTCACTGGCAAGTCCTCTTGAGTTCTCCTTTTGGGTTCAATGTGTATTGGTTCAATTTTGGTAATGTATTTCTCTTGTGAAAGGATAATGTTGTGGTTCGGTAATTGTTGCATCTCAATACCAGTGAAAGTGAATGATTGTGACTGTTTGGCTCCAAAAGGAAACTTTGACTCCAGTTTGCTGATCTGTTCTTCGAAAAACTTGTCACCCCCGCATAGTCCATCGTCCACGTGCATGCCTAGGATCCCTGATGGTTTTGTGGCCCCAGGTTTGTATAACAAGTAAACACATGGGTCAAAAGGGGATGGTCGGAAGGAAAGCTCTCGAAGGGTCTTATCTAGTTCTTTGTACCATAGATATGGTGCATCGATAAGCCCATAGGCTGACTTTTCCAATTTGCACACCTCATTTCTTTGAAGTCCCATGGCCTTTACAAGCTCTGGTACAGGTTCAAGTCCTATGATCCTGTTTTCCTGTGTCTTTCCCTGGAGAAAAGCTGCTTTGATGTCAAATGACATTAACTTCCATTGAAGTGAGGCAATGGTCTGCAAAATGAGCATTCTGGATTGCCTATTGAGAGTAGGACTATCCCTAGGTATGGTCTCTAGTTCGGGATCTAGGTACCCAAGGACCACCAGCCTGGATTTTGCCTTGCGCTTCTTGCCAAGGCGCTTTTGTTCGGCTGGGTCTTCAATGGGTTTCCACACATGGATCCAACGGCACCTAAGGATCTGCTCTGGAGAGAGGCTATCTCGCAGCACCTTGCACACTGTACCTGTCTGGAGCCAATTATTGACCTCGGTGGATTTGGCACGTTCGAATTCTGCCCGTTCCTCATTGGTGAGTTCACTGAGTCTGACCTCGGTTCTTGACTTTTTCTGATTTGTGGCCAACATGATGACATCCTCGATTGGAATTGGGTGGCCCTCTTCAAATTCATGAGGAACTTGGAACTCACAACGCCATGCCAGAGGGACTTCAGCACTTTGTACACATGGAGGTTCAATGTCTTCACTCAGCAGCAGATCACATACCAGTTCGTCATCGGCATCAGGAACTGGTGTTTCAATTGCTTGTTGCATTTCGGAATCTGTGGGTGCTACCGTTGGATGTTCCATCTCAGGCTCTTGATCTGGCTGAATGCTTGAGTCGCTCAGTGGTGTGGTGTTTGTTGGTTCATTTTGCTGATTTTCTGGTTCAGGGATATTATCAATGTTGATTATTGGGTTCAGGCTCTGTTCATGAGGATTATTTTGGGCATTTGTCGGTGGTCTAGTGGGATTATGTCTTATTTCATTTTGGGGAATGGTGATCTCTTGAGTGGCCCGGGTGATGAGCCTTTGCATGTGGCTCTGTTGTTCCTGAGTCGGTGGAACATGTTCGGAAATCTGCTGTGCCTCTACCGCGCTGACTGGCCGAACGTGTTCTGGGGCAATTCGAACCATGTTTCCCATGTGCAAACAGAAAATGGAGTGTCTGCCATCCTGTTGTATCACCTTTGCCGGCCCATGCCAAGCTTTGGATGTTTCTGATGACTTCCAATACATGATCCATTCACCTGGTTCGTATGTTCCCCGATCTGGACGTTCTCTTCGCAGCGCAGCTCTGCGAAGTGCTGCATTGTTGTCGGCATCATGGAAAGCTTTCCGGGCACTTTCTCTCATTGCTAGCTGGGATCGGAACTGGATTCCCTGTGCATTCTCTTCATTCGCTAGGCTATGAGCTGGAAGGCTATCATCGCTGGTTAGTGAACCTGGTACCTTCAATCCTTTTCCGAAAACTAGTGTTTCTGGAGAAAACCCGTGTCTGAGGCTACATGCATTTTTCGCAGCGGTACACATCATTAGAGCCTTTTGTAAATCGGCATATGAGTTAATTGAGTGATCTTCTTCATATTTTCTGAGCATTTTCTGGAGGATGTCCCCATGTCTCTCAGTTCTTCCCATCTGCCAATGAGCTCCTGGCGGAATGATTGTGCACTTCACATTCAGTTGCTGCATGAAATTCACGAACTGTTCGCAATTGAACTCAGTGGCTGAGTCAGCCATCATCTCATTTGGTGGGCCAGCCCATGTGAGCCATCCAACTGTTAGTTTTTCAATGGCCTTTTCAGTGGTACGATTTGGTGCAATTGTGGCAGTGTGGTAATTGGTTCCGTGATCAAGGAAATGGTAAAAATGAAAGTTGGTTCCTGTCTTGTTTGTCCATGATACTCCATCAACTGAGACCTTGTCGCCGAAATCCAGCTCTGCCTTGATTGTGGCAGGTCGTTGTATCTTTGGATGTTGGTGTTGAACACAAACCGAACACTTCATGTCTTCTAAGGCTTGGGTGAGATGGCTGGGATACCCTTGTCGTCGAAGAACCTGTGACAACACTTGATGAGAGGGATGTCCAAAATTCTTGTGAACTCGAAGGAGGTGTTGTTTCTCATGTGCTGGTAATGACAAAAACCGTGTACCGTGTTGTTGAGATTGGGAGTCTATCAAAACATTTCGATCATGAGTACTTGTTGGCAAAGTTTCTGGAATTTCCGGCTTCGGTTGGTTCTCAGGAAGCATGCTTGACCTCTGGTTGGTCTCACTCATGGCTGGTTCCTGATGAGTCGTGTCATCAGGGTTGACTGTCGCTGCAGGACCGGGTTCATGCAATTGTCCATCCGGGACTTGGGATTGTGGTTCTGCAGGCATCTGAATTACATTCTCGGGCATGCTTGTGGGTGCACTCGAGTGGTTGCAGGCGAACACCGTTATATTCACTGAGCTTGGAATCAGGCTACGTACAAGTCTTCTTTGTGCCAAAAGTTCCCATTCTTCCCATTGGTTTTCTACCAGGATTCTTTGGGATTTTCTTTCAAGTACAATAGCTCTTCTGTATGGTGCTTCTCCCTCAACCATCTCCTTTGGTGGTGGCAGCGTTCTTTCAGTCCCCTTACACCCCACGACATGCATGATTTTCTTATCATCAAAAACATCCTGTATCTTATTGATGATTTGTTGGTCTCTGATTTCTTTCTTACCAACCCTTGGTAGCATTTTCTTGATTTCGTCCATGATTTCTTGAAGTTTGGATGTCATGTTGGTCTCAGGCCCTTTGTCTCCCACACGGCGTCGTTTCTGTGATAGGTTGTTTGGCTCAGTCAGTTGTGCAGTGATCACCTTGGGACGTTTAGCGCTAGGCTCACCTGAGGCTTTCTTCGGTCGCTTCCCGACGGCAGTCAGGATCTCATTCCAAAGGGAAAAATCCTTGGGCTCTTGTCTGCGATTGGGAAAACTGATTAAAACCTTGGCTAACATTCGTGCAAACTTTCGTGGATACAGCTCTGAAAATTCAGTGCGATTCATGCGTACCCCTTTGTACACAGTGGTTCCTTCGAGGACTTGATGTTCATGGCTGTGGTTGCAATACCTTCCATGGAGTTGTGAAAACACTTCCCAGGATGTGGTTCTGACTTCCAAGCCCTTCTGAATCAACTTGTTGTTTTCAGGGTCACACAACTGTCCAACTTTGCACATATCAAACAAGGCACTGTATGTTTTCTCAAAAAGCTCTCTTAGTAGAGGTGACTTGAACATCAGAGATCTTCTCGGCTGCTCCCAATGGAAATGTCGGCGACTGGACCACTGGTGACGCAAAAGCACTATACCTAATGCCAGTTGAAAAAGGTTCTGCACTCGCTGAACATGAATGGCATCAAAGCTTTCCACGGATTTTGAAGCATTCAAATTGTTCCAGCTTGACCAAGGACCGCAAGTGGGGCTGATCCACACATTGTCTGGTTGTTTCTGTATCAGAAGTTGAAACAGTGATCTACGACCTTCCGTGGTGGCTAAGTCGCCCTGATCATATCCAAACCTCTGTGCACGGTGTCCCAGTTGGCCAGTCTGGCGAGTAAGTTCACTGTTGGAGCTACAGAATACTTCTAGTACGTTCAGCTTGGCCCCAGGAGTGGCTTGGTATTCGCTGGCAACATGCTGAAGTTCTTCAGAAAATTGTTGAATCAACTGGTTCATTCTTTTCTGTAGGCTAGACATATTACTGGCATGAAAACATGTTTCTTCAGCATCTATGTCACCTGCCTGGCACATGCCTTGAGCCCAACGTTCCGCACTCATTTCTGGGATCGCAGAAGGTTCAGGATCTCCCCCACTGCATTTTCTACTCCGCTCATTCGATGCTGCAGTGCATGAATGTTCTCGGTGTGATGCTGCAGTGCATGAATGTTCTCGGTGTTGACGTTCATGGGCACGTAGAGGGGCATTGACTCCATCCATGCTTCCTCCTCTTCCTCTGCTTCGGGATCGAGCGGCACTGTGTGAGCTGGCATGCTCTTGGCCTTGGCTTTCACTTTGGGCTGTGGCAATTGGCGGAACTCTGATTCTGTCTCCAGCTCCACACGTTCTACCATCATCGTCACATAGTGAATGAGCTTCTGATGTTCCAGTTTCCCCGAGCTCTCGTAAGTGCGGACAAACCATTGCACCCAATGGATCTCCTGATCCCACATCTGGCGATATGTCTTGCCCAGGTGGGCTTTGCCAAAACTGATGGGAGTGGCGTCCATCTGTTCCGGTGACAACGCCTTGAAGGTGTCCAGGCTGTCGCCAGTCCCCGCTGGCAGGCACCCTCGGCTCAGGCGGTCGGCAAGGCTCATGTTTGGCAGTGTGGTCGGATTCACGCTGCTCACTGGTGACTACCTTCTTGGTCCCAGGCTTTGGATTGGCATGAGTTAATTCATGAGGTGACAGCGTGTGTTGGAAATCCATTGCATGTGCATGTTGATCATGGCATGGGTGTTCATCAACGGTGGCATCAACAGTGGATTGATTGGTATGGCTGGAAACTGCATGTTCACGTGTGTGTGGAACTTTGTCATGAGAACTTTCGAGTGATTCTTTGTGGGAACTGTTGGCATTTGAAATTTTGGATTTGCCCTTTTCACTGCAGAAAACTGCTGGGTCACTCTCTGACATGATTGGGCTGCTCTTTGTCTTCGGCTGTTTCGAAGTCTCTGGCGTTTCATGCACAAACGTGTCAGCAGTCGGGATTTCTTTCCTGGCATTGAGTGAGATCTCATTCAGGTCAACAAGAAACAAACCACGGTTGTTGAGTGTTAGATGAATTGGTACCTTCAGGAAAGGACTGTGCATCTGCTGATTGGCAACATCTACAGTGGCTTTCAATGTTCGGAGCAGGGTGTTCGATAACAGAAGTGGTGTTCCTCCAGGGACAATGGCGATTTTCAGACCTAATCGACCTATTGGGATGACCATGGCAAATTGGCTATCCAGTGTTCCCTGGTTCCCGAACCGGAAAGTCACTTCACAACGACATCGACGGACATTCTGGCGGACACTCGGATGCAGGTTCTGTAACAGATCAGACACTAGTTGGCTGCCTATCACTGTCTTCGTGGCTCCTGAATCCAAAATTCCGAATGTCCCATGTGACGCAAACA